CCCCCCCCGCCCCCCCCCCCCCCCCCCGTACCTCAGCGTCGGGTAAAGTTGCTCCCAGGTTAGACAATAATTGGATAACTTCGCCCTCATAGCGTCCAACCCTCCCACAAGCTCTCTCTAACTCGAAAAACTCTGTTGCACACTGAGATTAAGCTAAAGGGTTGAATTTAACCGCCAAGCTGAGCCACGTTCGCTTTTAAAAGTCCACCGGGTTTGAACTTTGTCAAACGACTGCGAGGAACCGCGTGCGGCCCAGTAAAACAGCGTTAAAAGTCACTTCCTAACGGAAAGTATGTTTTCTCTGTTGTGAATTGTATGTCGGATTCTTCCTCCGTTATCGCCACGTGTCCTGTTTTTGATAATGTGCACTGACGCGATGATAACGAGGACGAGATGTGCTACAGCGGGACATAGTCTTCGGGGAAAAAATAAATAATGCTTTACGATCATTTTTCATCACACGTGATATCGCGCCAAAAAATAACACGTAGTCAGTTTCTTGACCACATGCCTTTAAGAGCAAATTTTCTGTCTTTCTAGGAGGTGACACGCGTATGTAGCCAACTGTCGAACGAGGACTTAATCTTGCTCCTTTACCTCCTCTTCCTTTTGATGATATGAGCTTGCGCTTTCGCTGAGTTGGCACAACATGTGCCGAAGTCAAAGTGCTTGGGTTTGCACTCTCTGTTAGTATCGCATCGACGCTTTTGCTGAGGCCAGCACCGATCTCGTTTTATAGCCTCCGCAGGCTATATTTCCGATTACGCGTGTGAATCGGCCTTAATCTTTTATTCGATTTTTAGAAAAAATTTCGAGTTTCGCAAATGTTTCCGTAGTCTCTGAATCTCATGGTGAAATATCGCACTGGACAGACCTTTCACGACGTAATTATTTCAGATTTCCTTTTGGACCGGACTTCCTACTTCGTTCCATGTCCACCATCCAATAAGAATGAAAACGGTTGTCGTGTATGTATGCTAATATGCTGTTGGAGATGCTCAAGTGGACGGCATACGCCCCAGTACGCACATTATATCCAAATTGGACATCGATCTGAATTTATGTTTCAGTGAAGTTTTACTTGGCGACGTACATATTTACTTAGACAGCTCGTGATTGGTCCGCGTATGAGAAATTTTGATTCTCCTTTCCCGTTAGAGCAGAGGCCAATGGTTTGGTTGCCGAGAAGCGTACTCTTTACGCATGGGAGGGCGCCACGTGTCACTCTCCCTACTTCTCTTATGGGGCTTCGGTAGTTCAGCATTTTTCCGTAGTGCCATGTAAAAGCACTGCTTGTATAAACCGGGTTCGCGCTAACTTACACCATGCCTGATGTCGTGTATTTTTAGCGTGAATTGTATTACTTTTGTTGTGAGATGATTGTTTAACAGTAACAATTAGGGTCTGAAGTGTGTGGTAGAGACGTTTCTTGTGAACATGGCACAATTAATTAATAATTGTTCGGTAAATGGCCTAAAAACGTCGACCCACTGACCAACGCCAGGATGTATTTGCCTTTCTGAAAACATTAGCCCCAGCCAGTGACTCCACTCCGCGTACCGTGTCTTCCTACGGTGTTCCTCTTCGGTGTTTCGGCAAGTTTTTACCCAATTCTTGTTTCCCTCTTAACATTCAACTAAGTGTTCTTGGTGTTCCATGATCTGGTGTATTGTTACTGTCGTTTTTATGCCATCCAAATCGTGTATTTCGTGCATAGGAAGCCGGCGCGCTTGAAGGTAACCTAAAAAGTAAATCGCCGATCACGGAACTCGCGATAAAGCCTAACTCTTGTCCGCGTGCCTTCTTCAGTCGTTGGCGAACCGCGCGTCCTGCATTTTTTTTTTTTTCACTGCATGTCGCATACTGTTATATCTGTACGAAATTACACGCGTGGATTAAAATAAAGGCTGTTGCGATTATAGACATACGTTAGTGTGCGTTGTGCATCAGTACTGAGTTATATGCAAAATAGAATTTTGAAACTCAATTGTATTTCCTTCCTCATTTAAATTAACAGGAATTTCATATCAAGTCAATGTACATAATAAATAATGAATGGACATAAAATGATGTGTCTTAATATAACATATTGTAATGTGTTCGATGAATAAGAATATCTATTGGGTATTTCAGAAGTCGGCGTTCAACAAGTCGTGATGCGTTGGAGGTTTGGCGGTCCCTGCCTAAAAACCGACCTAAAGTCATCGTTGCAGAAAGTGTTTGTGTGACAAAACCACTAAGTGCAAGGACTCTTCACAAAGCGAAGAAAGTTATCTTAAACAAGAAGGGTATATTAAAACTCCTAAAGCAGGAGAAAAGCCAACTTATATTGAGAGATCGGGAACAAGAGTGAAAGGTATAAAAATAGGGGGGGCTGTCTGACCGATGGACAAGCGGAAGATGATGCCCAAACGCCCTCGAATGGAGACCATGAGGGGTCCAATTGCTAATGGACCCATTCAGACTCGACCTCTGGTGGCCCTACTGGATGGCCGGGATTGTTCTATTGAGATGCCCATCCTTAAGGATGTTGCAACGGTGGCCTTTTGCGATGCACAGTCCACCTCAGAAATACATGAGAAGGTATGGCATGGAACACATAATAAAGTAACAATTATCCCTCTATTGCCTATTAAAATGATAAGTTATCGCAAACATATTTTTAAAATGATATTTAAAATATTTTTAAAGGTACTAAATGAGGCAGTTGGTGCACTCATGTGGCACACTATAATTCTGACAAAGGAAGACCTCGAAAAGTTCAAAACATTACGAATTATCGTAAGGATTGGTTCTGGTGTCGATAATATCGATGTCAAAGCTGCCGGTGAGCTCGGCATCGCAGTGTGCAATGTGCCTGGCTATGGAGTTGAGGAAGTAGCTGACACCACTCTTTGCCTCATTCTCAATCTATACCGACGTACATATTGGCTCGCGAATATGGTTCGCGAGGGCAAAAAATTCACAGGACCTGAACAGGTATGAGTAACATGAGTACGAATTTCTTTACTATTTTTTATTTCATCTTTGTAAAAAAATTGAAATTTATGTATTATTTCTCCTATATATCCTAGGTCAGAGAGGCTGCACAAGGATGTGCAAGGATACGGGGTGACACTCTGGGCATAGTTGGATTGGGTAGGATTGGATCTGCAGTAGCACTGCGTGCTAAGGCCTTTGGCTTTAACGTCATCTTCTACGATCCGTATCTTCCTGATGGAATCGAGAAATCACTTGGCCTCACCAGGGTGTATACATTACAGGTTAATTCGAATTATGATTTTAAATATGCAGTCATACAAATAATTATAATTGAAAAATGTTACCTTTTCATGGTATCTCTTACAGGACTTACTGTTTCAATCAGACTGCGTATCTCTGCACTGTACCTTGAATGAGCACAATCATCACCTAATAAACGAATTCACCATCAAACAGGTATGCCAATTATTAAATGAAGACATTGTAATTGGAAACACTAATTCTGTTTTCCTGTGAATACAAAAATTGTGTTGCAGATGAGACCAGGAGCATTTCTGGTGAACACGGCACGAGGTGGTCTTGTGGACGATGACGCACTTGCCGCGGCGTTGAAACAGGGTAGAATTCGTGCAGCAGCACTGGACGTCCACGAGAACGAGCCGTACAACGTCTTTCAGGGTCAGTCCGCGCAATGTGAGTCTTATCTGACCTTACCTAACCGTCCTTAACCCGATTAATATGTCCATAGACCAAATTTTCCGAGTCCTATGACCCCGGGTTGTCATGCAGTGCCTGCAATAGTTCCCCAAAGACGATATTAAAATTGGCATGATTTTTAACAATAAAAAGTGTTGCTGGAAAATTAGTACTTAATAAATATTTTGGCTTATTTACTTCACATGAGATGAGGCAATGCGCGGTTATGTTAACGAATGCATGAATTACTGATTGGTTTATACTAAATAATCGGTCTAAGGATGATTAATGAGAAGTGACTTATTTCACGTGGGTGTGTAGGTCCTTTGAAAGACGCTCCGAATCTGTTGTGTACACCACACGCTGCATTCTACAGCGACGCTAGCTGCACGGAACTTCGTGAAATGGCTGCCAGTGAGATACGGCGGGCCATCGTAGGTCGTATACCTGACTGTCTACGAAACTGCGTGAACAAGGAATATTTCCTCTCCACCGCTGGGTAAGCACACTACGAGATAATAAATACAATCAGCACAGATACGTAGCGTATAATAATTCGATTACCTTGACACTGTCTTTCTTGCATCGAGAGAGTGAGAGAGGAAAAAAAAGATGTCGTAATTCTTGCAGACACAGATTTTCAAGCAGAAGTTAACTCGTATTACACGGAAAGAGAGTCGAGCGTGTGTGCAATAGTTACGTGGTTTAGAAGCGCTCTCGAGCCTCTTTGGATTTCCTAAGATCAATTGGGCACTTTAAAGGCATTTATCGAAGTGGCCAATTTCTTTTCGCTTTCTCCAGCAGCTACCCCGAGGGGATCAACGGCGGATACTATGCGGGAGCACTGCCCGTCCAGCAGGCGCACTCGACGACTCCCCACGACTCTGCACCCCCACCTCCTGGGGGGCACTCCGTAGTTGGTGGTGGTGCTGGTGGGGGCGGTGGCGGTTCGAACCCTCCGGCAGCGCCTGCCGGGGGTCCAACAGGCCCCACGGGCCCAACGGTAGGCGCCGGCGGGGCTGGGGGCCCTGCTTCGGCTCCCCCTGCTGCCGGGTTACCCGGACTACCCCACAGCATAGTGAGCGAGCCTGACCCCCGGCCAAGCCCACCTGCTCCGAGTCCCCGTTGACCTTGAACCCCCGAACCCCGAACTCTACTCCAGCACCACCCTCTGACCTAACCTACCCCCTAGCCATTCGCACACGACCTCCGACGACAAACAGCTGATTGACTAACGTGTGTCGTGCACGACGTGCCCCAAAATCTGTCCGCTACTTCCGAGAAACTCGAGAGATCCATCCTTGAGAGAGAGAGAGAGAGAGAGAGAGAGAGAGAGAGAGAGAGAGAGTGAAAGAAAGAATGAATGAAAGACCGAAAGCAAGAGAACGAGCGAAAGGAATAGCGTGAAAGTGAATGAAAGGGATTGTATGACAGAGTGGGAGAGACAGAGAGTGAAAGTGAGAATCAGAGAGAACGTGTCGTTTCGCATTTGAATTTTGCGTTCCTCAATCTTTAACATTAAAGAGAGCTATTCGTATCTCCGTAAGCAGATCAAATACAGTACGGGCTAGTAAAGATGAAACATTCCCATTGGACATCTGCAGTGATACATGCAGACTATATATTTTTGGTTGAGAGCTGCTGCTTCTGAGGATTAAAAAAAAAATGGTCTTCTTTCATAGAGCATAGATGTCTTGGTCTTACGTCATGTCATACATTTCAATCGTACGCCTTTATCGTTACGAGATCGCCTTTATCGGACAACCAGTATTCCAAACAAGTGTTCCTTGACTTCCAGAATATATTCCGCTGTTTCGTATCCCATAAACATCTCCAGGCAATTGATTCGGGTAGCTATTATCGTAATACTAATCAGAGTCGACGAGTGACAGAAGAAACAACTGCAAACATTGAATGGATGCGCGGGCAATAGAAGCTCCATTTTCAAATCTCGATCCACCTCTTATTAAATTTTTATCCATTTGAAGAGCACGATCAACTTATAACTTGTCTATTTCTCTCTCTTGCTCTTACTCGACGTTTCAATAAGTTTGAAATAGTATTTTTTATAGACTCCATACATATACTTGTAGCAATTTCTATACTTGCAATAAAAAAAAAAAAATAGAGAAATGTACGTCATGTATTACTGTGGCCGGTACTGTATTTGAATCTATGACGCCGCTGGCTCAACTGTGATCACTCGACATTAAAGTTCTCAATCTCAGAATGAAATCGCAAAGTCTTTGTCGCACTTTTAATTGCGATAGAAATTTTAAACTGTACGAAAACGTATCTCTGTAACTCTTCTGTCGGGCGTCACGGTTCGCCGTAGCGTTTATTAGCAAATTGAAACACCCCCGATACTCTCGCCCTTTTTTCTCCAAATCCAAAAGCACGTGATTGGAGTGCCAGAAGACACGCGCGGACGACCCGGGCCCTTTTCAATCGGCTACCATGGAATCCTGTCACCGGCAATCTAACAGAATCGTCGAGGAGTCCGCAAACGCAACGTCCACACTGATCTTCGACGCGAAGAGCGCACCGAGGAAGCGATTATTCGAGTACAATGTGGTAGTTCTTATTAGCGTGCGAAGGAATAGATATACTAAAATGGGAAAAAGATCGAAAAACAAAAGAAAACGAAAAGAGAGAAAGTTAAGAGACAATGCGAACACTCGAGCGCTTGCGACGGAACACCATTTTATTCACCTGTATTCTGTTAAGTATCCGCAAACGTGCGCCGGCGAACTTTGTAATTCCCTAAACCGCTTTGCAATGTACAGATTGAAGTTTCACTATAGTAATTTGTAGGTCACTCATATTTGCGGATATGTAACGAACGGATGCACTTTGGGCTTTATTGTATCGTTTGGCGGTACGTCGGGAGGAGCGCGAGCACCGCGTATAATTCTTGCCATTTACGTAATTGGTCGATCGAATGATTTACGTGGTGCTCTTGCGAAATCCTCAAAGCAGACCACGTCGTGGCGGTACGAGCTGCTACTGTGGCGGCCGGCCAGTAACTCGCTGTAATTGTACGCAAATTGAGAACACGTTTTGGAACGTACAGTAGTGCTAGAGTAACGACGAGAGTGCGTTGGTAAATGGGCGCGCGTAACTCCTGTCCTTCTGCTCCATATTGAACCTTTGGCCCTCGACCTTAATGTTCTCGAACCTTCCAATCCCCGACTCTCCTCTCTCTCTTCTCCCACTCCCTGCCCGTTAGAGTATTTCTTTTGTGTTTCTGAGAAAACGAAACCGAATGCTACTTGAGCTTTTTTTTTTTTAGTGAACTTATTGATGAACTGTTTTTTTTTTTTTCGTTTTTTTTTCCCCCCGTGAGCGAGGACGTGCGAGAAAGGGAGAGCGACATTGTGAATATGCAAGGGTGAATGGATGAAAGTACGAGAGAGTGTGTAAGAGAGAGAGAGAGAGATAGTGTGAGCGAACGTGCGAGAGAGTGAAATAGAACGAGCAGAAACAAGTTTTATTAATTGATAATTATAATATGATTAGTTATTGTATTAAGTAAAGTAAGGCGATGTTACGAACACTTGAGTATATTATCGAGAGGTGAATCATTGAGGTGAAAAATGGAGCGAGAGAGAAAGAGACGACGGAAGATATGGACAATTTTTTGAGAAAAATTATGGAAAGCGATAATAATTAAATAAAAAATATGGGAAAAGAAAATCTATTTTAGAGACACACATATCTATTCGGTTTTCTTTTTAAATCTGTTTTTACGTTTGAAACGAGAGACATGGCGAAAGGCGGTGAATCGTCGAGAACATTTGTCGTGTGGGCCTCACCATGGTGCAGAACGAACATTTGTGCCCGGCCACGTGGCTCCGAGATTTGTCGAGGCGGTAAATAAAAATTAAGAGAGAAAAAGAAATAGGGCAATGATTATTGGGACATGCGTATTCATGAAAGTGAGGCTATTAAGAGTAATCATTAGAACCTATGACAATGTACTCTGAAAGTTTGATCGGAAGCTACAAAGCTACATCTGGATATATTTCAGTAGACGTGTTTACGGATTTGAGTAATTATTATTATTATACACGATCCTTTGACAATTATAAAAGAACACGAGATTTGAACATGAGAGTGAGAGACCAAGAGAAAGGAAGAAAGAGAGCGATGATAGGGAGCGTGTGAGAACGGTGAGAGCGCTAGAGAGGGAGAACAAAAATCATTCCAACTGGTATGAGGAATCGGACCGAAAATATATGAAACAAAATACTAAAAAGCACATTCGAGATCGTCATGGCGCGCGAGGCGATAACGTATAAAAGTGGCAAAAATAAATAAATAAATAAAAAAAACGAAGCATCACACGTTACACGAAAAGTTACACGCGCACATTACTCTAAATAGCCACGTATAGAGACATACATAATACTATTATACATGTAACACAAATGAGACGTGCGTACGAGGCGATAGAAGCGTAAAGGAATACAGAGATATACAACACTGACCACACAGAAGCAACAACAGCAACAACAACCGAATATACATTTTTAAATAGAAATACGCTACGTACATAAATACACGAGGTACCAGTGCGCAGCTGCACGGCGAGCTCATCCCCTCTGCTCTCTTGATGCTTGCTTATCTTATGGGAGAACTCCAAATTTTTCTTTTTAAACAAGAGGGTAGAAGGGACCGGATACGTTCCTGCAGATTCGTATGGGTACATAACGTAGAAACATTATACATACTGTTTTTGTCTTCTTTTTTTTTTTTTCAAGAATATTATTACTTATAAATACATCATTATATATAGTAAGAACGAGAGAGAGAGAGAGAGAGTGTCTGTGAGAGTGAATGAAAGTGAGTAAGACAGACAACGGTGTGAAAGCGAATGACGAGCGATAGCGAATTTCTGAGAGAACGAAAGAGAGAGAGAGAGAGAGAGAATTTCTGTTGACGAGTGAAATGATATAAACGATAAAGAAACAAAGAAAAAATATGAATGAAATCGAAGTACGCTACGATGAAGAAGAAACGGAGTTGTTCTTATATAGTTTTAATTGTGAGAAAAGAAAGAAAGAGGCAAATTTAATGTGATGAAAAAAAAAATGCAGTACGTAATGACTTCCACCGTTATATTTCCAGCCCCTATTCCTTCTCCTCCTTCTACACCTTCATTCCCACATGTCTTCTCCTTGCGAAACCTCTTATCGTCCCTCGAAAATCCTTATCCTTCTTATCTCCATTCTTCTTAGCTCCTGTGAGTCAATCCCGAGTGTGCGTATGCGTGTTGCTTGCGTGGGTGCGTAAAAAAAAATAGAGACAGAAAATTGCAGCCGAACACACGCGAGGCCTCCTTTATTCTTCTTCCCTGTTTCCCGTAAAGAGGATCGACACGCGGTTCCTGGCTCGTGGGACAAATGAATAGATAGATAGATATAGAGAGAAAGAGAGAAAGAGAGAGAGAGAGAGAGTAAGAAAGAAACACACGCCCATATAGTGATTGATTAATTTTTTTAATCAGTTTCTTTCATATGAATGTACATATACACATATATGTATATAACGCAATTATATCTATATATATATATATATATATGTGTGTATATACGCGTATCCTTCCTTTCGATGAGAGTGGCGCTGAGGCACACCTTCGTTTTACATTTACAATGGAAAAGAGAAATGAGAGAGAGAGAGAGCAAGAGCGAGAGCGAGTGAAAGAGAAACGAGAGAACGTAAAACTGACGAAGAAGAAGAAAAAGAAACAAAAGCCACAAGATGACGAGAGAAAAGTGAACGTGGTGAAAACAGCAACATTAATATTAATTATAATTAATAATAATAATTATAATAAATACAATATTTGTACAATAATCAACGGTGCTGTGGTGAATACTGCAGGCCTGTGTATATATACATACATGAGTAACTGTATGTGTATATATATATATATACACGGATTATCCTGTTCACCCATCCTGACTTCCGTTTCCTCGCGAACTTCCGCCAAACACCGTTTTCTGATCGATAACAATACTTTATTCGACTAGGCTTCGAAAGGCGATCCTTTCTTTTGTTCAGCTATCCTTTCAAATTTGCGGTATTTCTTTCTTTCATTTCGTTGGTGCCTTCCACGTCTGCTGCAACGGCGTTTTCGTACTCGTCCCCCTGGTTCCAGCAGCGTCGTAAACGACAGGAAGACACAGGAACGATCCTCAGGACGAAACGGAAGGACTCGAGCGGATGCCGCATTTTATCAACATGACCGTATAAACTATTTTCGTTGTAAGCTCGCTCCTAGTCGAATAACGGGTATTCGACAACATTGCGAGAACCTGCCGTTGTCCAACCGACCAACTGGATCGTGTCACGTCAGGGAGCCACCGTGGACTCGCATGTGCCTGTTCAAATTGCCACTTTGACTAAACCTCAGTAAGCACAGCTTGCACTGGTACGGTTTCTCCCCGGAATGGATCCGCAAGTGTTTCGTCAGGGTGGAGCTGTCGGAGAAGGCCTTCTTGCAGAATCGACATCTGGAAAGGGACTTTTTAGCTTCCTTTCGTGAAAAATCGTTCAGGCTGCATTTAAGGGAGGACGTGTAACGACCCACCTGTAGGGACGTTCGCCGGAGTGCGTGCGCATGTGTGTCGTCACCGAGCTACTCTGGGAGAATCTCCTGTCGCATACCGGACATCGGAATGGCTTCTCGCCGGAGTGAGTCCTCGCGTGGGCTGTCAGGTTGGCCGCTTGGCTGAATGCTTTCGAACACGCGTGACATCTTTAAAATTGTACAGGATGTCATTGGTTGAGTGTGAAATTCGATTTGGACATTTCTTTTTCGTTTCTACATTGTAAGGGATGAGACCTACCTGAATGGTTTCTCGCCCGAATGCGTTCTGAGATGCGTCTTTAGGGTGCTGGGACGCGCGTACGTTTTCCCGCAAATTCTACAGAGATTCGGTCTGCCGTTATCGTCCGGGGTAACGGTAGGACCTACTCCGCCGATGCACAGTGCGTGCTCGCCGGTCGGTAAGCGAGAATGAGGATGGGGATGCGGGTGAGAGTGCTGATGATGAGGAGCCATAAGGCTATTGGTCGGGGGTTGATTCACCCTCGTTGGAGCTTCCACGGGGTTATATTGGGGGGCGGGACTCAGGAGGGGCTCTACCCCCCATGCCGACGAATAGCTCTGCTCGTACCTGCGTACGCAAACATTGACAAACCCTAAGAAAGGCGGCAAGATGGCGAGCTAGAATTTAGGGGATGATTTTTTTACCCTTAAACAGGTTTATGAAATTTATCCATTCGAACGGGGACGATCTTACTTTTGTTGGTTGATATGAATTTTCTTATTAAATTTTACCTTTTTTTTTTTTTTGATACAAGGGTCGTCTCTGGTTTAAGGGTTGTAACGTTACTCACCCTGGGTGCATGTTCATGTTCATGGTCATGTTCATTGAAACGTTGACAGACATTGCTGGACCGGGTGTGTAATGAGAGGGTGGCACTGGCGGTCCCAAATTCTGGGCATAATCCTGGGGGTAGTGATGGGTCGGTCCACCCGTGGAATAATATCCTCCAGTAGGACTCCCAGGATGCACCACTGCGTGTTTCAGGGATAAGAGGACGTCCGCGACTCCTTCGCCATTGCCGTTGGCAGCCCTTGGTACGCATTCTCCTCGGCTACAACCCCAGCTGAAAAAATACTTAAAAATTTACAAGGTACATAGAAAGGGGTATACCCCAATTTTAGCCAATATTTTCTAGCGCTGCTAGCTTAACGTAATTGTCATTTAATTTCAAGGAGATGGGAAATATTATTTTTTACGTGGTACGTAGGTGCTTTTATTATAATATAAGAAATGAGTGTGACTCACTTGTAGGAACCGGAACACGGACTAAATAGTCCTGGAGGCAACGGATCCAGGTCCAATGGTGGCAATGGAAATCCAGCCATGTCGTCCACCCAGAAACTCGCTCCGAATTCACTGACGACCTGATTCTGCCCAGAATTTTGTATCTGATGACTCGGGTCAGCGTTTATATCCTCCGGCGAACTCTGCAGGTCCTGGAGACGCAGAGTCCCTTGCAGGGAGCCTAGGGTCTCTTCATTTTGCGTATCCGCCAAAGTATCTTCACTCGTGAGCACGCCAAGCGAACCCGAGCAAAGACCCGACGGGATGGTTGCTTCGATGCTGCCCACCGATCCTGACCAAATTTCTCTTGCTCAGTCTCGAGTTTCGATTACCTATCTTCGCTGTAACCCTAAACCCCTTATCCACACCTCAGCCATCCTCGCCTTCCTCTTTATACTAGTTCTACTTGTCCTCTCGCTGTCTCTTTCTTCTCTTCTCATGATCGTCAAGAAAAAATTAACTATCACACGATCGTTTCACCGCGGATACGAAAAACCGTTACGCGTTCAGATATATAGATATACCGTTTGGAAAGATATTTTTGGAAATTTGGAGAAAAAAATCTTAGCTTTGTATTTCTCGAACGGGCTCTTTTTTTTTGATAAATTTATTTACGAATTTATTTATTCAATGCTTCAGTGGTTTTGTAGTCAATTTTTTTTTGTACCGGTGAGATCTGCTCGTGCTTCGAAATTGTAAGGGATGCAATTTTTTAGGGTGAATTTACGGTGCTCTGCTCACCTGTACCGAGTGTATACGGTGGCTCGGAGGTGTTCGCCGAGTGGTGGTTCTGCAGAAACTCCATCTCTGCGAAATTTCTGCGAGCAGCTTCCGTTAGAAACACCCCCTTCCACGCCCCTATCCAGAAGCAGCGATCTGGCTCCCTTCTCTATGGAGATGTGGTCCAACCCCTCCGGTCGTCCTGGCAACGGGCATGGAAACACGAATACAGCCCTCTCGGCTCATTTCATTGAAAAATAAGAACGCAATAATATCGACAAATGGACCCCTGCGATGTTAAAGGTTTTCCTGTTACACAGTAAATCTAATACGAGTCTTTAGAAGAAAAAATATTTTTAAGCATTTTAACAGCCTCGCGACACACCTCTTTTACCGATGGAACAAAACACCCATTGAGTATATTTTTTAAAAAATTCGTAACACGTACGTTCGTATTTTCAAAAATCTCCGCTATCCGTATTCTGTATAAATTATATTGGTAAAAAGAAAAAATTTCCATTTTATCCATAGCACGTTTATATCGCATAGCTGATCGCATTCATGTAAAAAAAAAGAGTGCAATAAATACAAAGTTATGGTCTTTATGAATGATTGCAAGAATCACATGTGTATAGGTACAGCGCGTAGAAGGTACCTTTATGGCTTGGAAGACCTGCCGGTCTCCTCTAAGGGCTTCTGGAAACCTGCGAGATATTTCCATTCATAGATTTTGAACCATGTGCATCTTTCCACGTGACGCTTTATGTATATCCACCAAAAGGATATACAGATCGTTGATCTTGCGAATATCAGCACGGCCGCCACTTCGACACACCTAGGAGTCCAATATTTGACGATCAGTCAGTCCAACCTTGTAACGGTCATTTGTCTTCGTGTACAATAGAATAAAGAGAAGACAGATTCTGCTATGTCAAAATTTAACTACATCTATTTCGTATGCAACGACGATGACTCCCCGTTATTTTCCATCGAGATTGTACAATTAATCGACTTCTTCGAAATCTTGCCTACAAAACGATTATTGACTATCGTAATTTTTTTTTTTTCAAAAATCACGTTTTTATACACACTGCAATTCGAGCTTATGCGAATGACTGATTTATTAGATTAATTAATATTTTTTCACTACAAGCCGTTACCCTGTAGCTTAAACACAGTCTGTGCCAAGAAATCCCTCAAGATATCATCATTCACTCTATCAAGATTGCACTTTCGTAAAATCATTCCTCCCAACGCTCCCTGATCACATCCATGCGACAGGGCAAAAAACAAAAAACAAATTGTATCCATAGACACTCACTCCGTTTTAAGTCTGATTTTAAATATTTTACCGGACATAATTAATAATTAATCACATTTAAAAATATATCTCTGGACACTGTTATCCAGGTTCACAGTTGCGTCCTCTTCAAATTCTCAGTCTCGTATTCACATAGCTACGTTATTCAGCCGTCTAAGGGGTTGAAGTTTGAAAATACGAAAAACCGCATAGTTCCACAAATCCACTCGGCGAGTCACAGCTACCAAACTTATAACACTGATATGCGAAAGCTCTCCGGGAGACCTCGGTACCCTACCGGTCTTGAGGAACCTTAGGGGTACAACTGGATGCTACTGCCATGCTGGCCCGATGGCCTGTCAATGTGTCTTGGCTAACTAGGCATCTACCACCTACCACCCACTCTCACCCCTTACCAACTAACTACGTACCACCCAACCCCACTACTAGTCACGGACCCTCTCTCATGTGTGCCGACTCGCTCCGTCCATCCAAGTGTTCTTCTTCGTACCGCACTAGGTAGGTAGTCACATCCACAACCACGTGTCTGCCAGTGTTGAATAGCTCCACCATCTTTCTTTATTTTTTCACGTACAATATGCGCCCTACGTACGTGGGGCCATATTGGCTACGTATTCTCGATACCTACCTCTATACGGCACATACACGGGTTGCACGCTGTTGACACGAGATACTAATCGTTCATTCAGCGATCGGTGATCGGAGCCCTACTCACCCACCGATCCGTAGGGATATTATATTTTCTCGAGATACCATTACCACACTGTCTTGGTGGTCCTGTCCGCCGGTACCCCCGACATCCTCGAGATCATTCGCACGTAATGCCTTCCCTTTAGCAAATTATTGACCAGCCAACGATGAGCCCGGCTGTGACAGACTCTCCTCGACATGCTGCAAGCTTTTCAATTTTTGAACAAATATTTCGACCTGCATGTACCTCGAGTGCGGGGTAAGCCAAGGTGGGGACGAACGGGAATTTTTGACAGGAATAAATTATTCGATCGAATTTTAAGGTCAGGAACTTTTTCACGTTTTTATGCCAAAGCGCCCTGGTCCGGGTGGTTAGCTTTGTGGAAAATCTAACGTCACTTTAATATTACTTGACAGGGACGGTGCACTTCCGTTATCACGCATTACGAAAATACACGTTTTGTCCAGCTCATCCCGAACCCTTCGACGAATATTGAATGTCCACCGACCATGAGAGAGGACAGGCACGACACCTGACTGTAGTTCCGACGCGGAGACAGGAAGAGGAAGTCAACCACATGTATTTCCAATACCCACCTCGTTTCCAACTAGTAGATATAACCCGGCGAGGATCAAATTTTCAATTCGGATCCGATAGAGTCGTCCCTAGAGTGTAGCCAGGGACCCATAGGCCCTGGCAACGTATTGGCTTACACTTCCAACCGATTGGCCACTTGGTATTTACGCAGGCCTCGTAGAAACAGACCCTTCTTACTACACGCCCTTATTCCTCAGAACCGTAATAAGGATCTATGTGTATTCCACAACCTGACACTACCTTATTTTTTCACCTTTTACACAGCCACCCCATACGGTATCTATAGCGTTACGTCCAACCACTCTTACGCATTTTACCTATCATCTCCCTGAACGTGGATCGTTATAAATCCTTAGTTTAAAATTAAGAACAATTTTCTTTTTAAATCCTTTTATTTATACCGTTCACGTATCCATTTCTTTTAGACAGAGGCTGTGTTAAAGAAATTTATTATGTAACAATGTACAAATATAACCAAGGGACCACCTGTGTTTGCTTGCACCTGAAATCAAAGTAACCATATTATCAGGTCTATTGTTGTCAAAGCGATGCGGTAACACCGCACAATAACTTTGCGCAATAAGATGAGCAAACATCGTCCCTCTCCGTGGCACTAGCGTTAGGGGACGTTACCTTTTACATAAGGTTCGTTGGACTTCTGTACGGGATCCACCGTGAATACTCATTCTGAGTGATTGGTAGGGCAGACGAGATGACAGGGACAGTATTGTCTGTGGTTAAGGTCGGCACTCGCTAAGTGATTGCACTGCGGATAATCCGTGCACGTGATAAACCGCACGTTTTGCCCGGATGGAGATGTTACTGCGACGGGATCCTCTTGAGGACGGCCTAAAACCTAATTACAATTTATATAGATAAATGTATCCCTGATGGAAGATCTCTGATCTATCTACGGAGCCACGCGTGACTCGTGTCCCTTAGATAACTATTGTTATGCTTGTATTAAAAACAGTAAATCGTAGCACGATGAAAATTTTGTTTTTAAATATATTTACTTATTGCGCAATAGCGATCGATGTTTTAGTGACGGTTTGGGAGATCGTCGATCGAGTTACGAATGATGCTCAGGTCTGACGTAAGAGTATTTCTTGTTTATGGAATTAGGATGGGTTATTAGAAATTCGAATTTTTTTTTTCTGTGACAGTACAGTTTTTTGTTTCGACAGATTCTTTGGAACGAAGCTCGGATTGATCTGTTATCGGATTTGATTGTAGCGGTTAAGATAAGAATCAAGTCGCGATGCTCAGTGCGCTAGGGCGACGGCGTCAGGGTACATCGTATATATGCGGTAGGCCGGGTGGCACGCGCCAACGTGTAATTCAATCGGGTATTTAGACAAAAGGCCTTTTAATCCCTGAAAAACTGTTACGAACTGCCTGCGACCGCTGGTAGTCATGGTTTACGAGTTAATCTTCGTAATCTTTAACTTATTTACTTAGCTGGCTCTTACAGGCAGATGCTGCCGTTGCCTTCGTTCCTGTGACCCTTTTTCGAAATACGTAACACGATATTTCGCAGTGCTTTGGTGAAAGGACGAGGTTCAGTTTTTGAAGACGTTCCATGCTGATTTACTCACATTTATTACAGTGGGTATTGACGTAATAGTGGTCGTTGTGAGGTTTTTAGTGTTTGTGATTCTTGACTGACATGGGAGGTTGTAATTTTTGTATTTCATTCAGAGAGAGGTTATGTTGGGTTAATAAAGAAATTCTGGGAACTTGTATAGAGGTATTCTCGAAATTGAGGTGGAATTGCATGAAAGCATTATTTTCGATATTGGAGAGAGAGGTGTACAACCCCCAAGATGGCTGCTGGCGGGCGTATCGACGTTTGGCGTTTAGAGGGTTTCCCAGAGGTAAGCTCATCGGAAATTGTAGGTCTTCCCTCCCCTGGAATCGTCCCTCCCGTTCTCGTCAGCCCTTCAAAACAAAGAATCACACGTAATTAAATTTTTCGCCTGTTCAATTTAATGTAGCGCCTGCAACAACTCTAATTGGGAGAGTAATCCTTGCTTTTGACTTTGAAATGGAATTTTGAGCTAGTTACGACGTATTTCAATTTCATGCGAACCGCTAGAGTTCTGATAATATTATATCGTCTCGTTGAAAGCTCATTGGCTATTGGTAATACTAATGATCATGCGTCGAGTTCAATATTACGGACTTCATGATACTACAATAGATCTGAATAATGTAACTTGAAATAATCTAATTACTGAAACGTTATGAAATGAAACAAATTTACAAATGGAATGATTCACCGTACATGAGAAATTGAAATATACATCGAGTGGATATACCGAATCAATGTCAATCGAAGTCAATATAATTTGATTAATATAGTTTAAAGTCAAACAACTGAAAAGATCTAGAAAACCATAAGAGAAAATCGTTAATAACCCCTGATGCTTATTGTGGCGCCATCTTACAGGATTCGTTGGAACGAATCCAAGGATATATCCAAATTGAATGCTCTTTACACTCTTAATTTTCTCAAAAATCATCCGTCATCTCGTACCACAAAGATATGTATAAATCCATCAAATTTATTTACATCAGCATAAAAAGTGCTTGCCTATATAAAAATAATGAACTTCGTTTATTTTCTAAAAATAGGATAAATGTCAAATCCTATTAATATCCTACATTGAAATTCAAACATAAATTAGATGCAAATAAATTTCAGTAAACGTATCACATTGTGTAATTTATTTCTAGTAGGTATAATCAATCGGTAACTCTAATCTTAATATATTCATCGTTCATCACAAGCATAATGCCATATTAATACCACAGTAATTAATCAACTTAACATTTCCTTATCACACAATGACGTACTTACCTTTAACCCCAACTAGTATCAGTAATTTTTAAATGCCTAATAAAACTGCACCGGCTAGTTCTCAGTTAATTGTAAGACATTCGGAGGTCAAGGCTCTCCGGCCGCTTTATGTCTTTAGTCAGAATTCACAATGGCTGTCCGAATCGCGTGAGCGCAACGTGGGATTTAGTAATCACCCGTTAATGCCGTGTACTAGAAAGTAGGTAATCTTGCTGGGATTTCTAGCTAGAGGGTAGATTCCCACACACAGACAGATCTATAAGAAAAGTGAAAGCAAAACCTGCGTTATTTATCGTCCGTACACGTTGATATTAGACACTTTAACTCACCAGCAAGAATTTAACGAGATGGTATCAGAAGATTTTTGAGGCAGTCATACCTGTATGCAGTTATATTTTCCAAGTATTTTTAGAAAAAAATAAAATAAGTCGAGGAAGCGTTGTGTCACGCGAGTGAAAGGTGGAGGTAAAGACGATACGTTACATTGCTGTATAAAGTATAATATTTGTAATGAAAAATAAACGTATAATATTTATTTTTTATATAATACAATAGGAGTGTATATATATACGCAACAAATACATATACACACGCGTGCGTATGCATAGAATATAAAATTTATAGTTATAACATTTAGAACGGCTATGGTAACCTAATGAATCAACTGATGCCAACGTGCGTATCGGCGCTAAGCATCTCGCGGAATTCCTGAAAAGATAAAAAAAAAACGATTGAAATCGTTTCCAGTGTTTATCGAAGACTGGTGTTATTGTAAAACGAAAACGAACCTGCAGCTTCTGATAGTGGCCTTCCTTAGTCTCTGTTTCTAGTTTGTCCATTTGTTCTCTTTCCTTGGTAACAGTTCCAGTGTCAGGATCCAATGGTCCAAAACTCCAGCCACCATCGCCGTCAAATCGCAATAAAAGTCGATGGAATTTCGCGAGCGAAGATACTCTATGCGTTATCGTAAGAAGTGTAATGCCTCTCTGCTTAGCAGTCTCGTACATGGCGCCCTCGGCTTCGAGACTAACAGCACTGGTGCACTCATCCAGTAGTGCATATTGCGGAGCATGATAGAACAACCGAGTCATTGCTAAACGTTGTTTCTCACCACCGGATAATGTTGAATCCCAATCGCCAAGAGCGTCCAGTCCTTCTGGTTCCCTTTCCGCCAGTCCGCGCAAATCTACAAGGTCTAACAGACGCAACAATTCTTCGTCGCTGCATTGTTCCTTCTTTGTTTCCGCCGGATACGTGATCTGATCTCGCAGACAGCCAATTGTCATATATGGCTTTTGTGGTATGTAAAACATAGCCGGTCGTCCACTGCAGATCGAGTACGACTCCGCAGGTCTTGTCAAGGTACCACCGTAGACGGGCCACAGGCCGGATACGATCCGGAACAAAGAGCTCTTGCCACATCCATTAGGACCCGTGATCAACAAGTGATCTCCTGGCTCTATCTGTGATGCAAATATAATGAAATAACTGTGAGCCACTCTTGTGTATGGAGTAAACTAAGTATTCATAAGTGGCAGATCTCGTTGCCGGGTGAATTATTCACTGGGCAGAAACTGTACATTGGTCGAAGGTATACTCACGTGCAGCGTCAAGCTAGGTACAATTACTTCACAATTAGGAGTGACTACAGGCACGTCAGTCAGGCTGATGCTGCCGTCTGTACTCTCTCGTATAATACCTGATAACGAATGCCTGATCGTATTAGTCGTAATAGTAACGACATTAGGAATTTTTATAATTACCCTTAATAACAGGAACGCCGTCATGAAATTCTATTGCTCTGTCTGGTCTGTGCAATGCGTCCCCATTGATTCCGCGCAATTGACTAGCTGTAACGACGTTTCTACGATATTTGCATAAAGCCGTATCCTTAAATACATCCAACATTTCGTTAACCCGTGCGGCGTAGCCAGCAAGTGCCACAAGTTCCTGTAAACGGTGACGGAGAGACCCCATCTAATTATAGGCTCTTAGCTGGCGCAATTATGAATTCTTTTAAATATATTCGGCCTCTACCTTGTACGATGACATGAGCCTCTCAACGGCGTCTGCTCCTGAACTTAGAAGGTTCTTGGAGGTTGTCAGATAGCGAGTACGTTCACCAACGCCACCTGTATGATTGCGAAGTGATAAATATTCAAGTGTACTTGCTAGATAGTTGAATGCAGAAAAATGCAACGTACCGTCTCCATCATTATCGAGAGAGTTGGTACGTGCAGACGTGGTGCCTGTCTTGTAGAGGAGGGGCATTGCTATTACCAGGAGACCAGTTCCTGACCAAACATATTTCATGAGCAGTTGCTCCAGCATTACGTATCCTAGCTTTAGAGCAAGGACTCTGCGCAGATGCACGACGAGAGATTTGTATGCTGTGTTTAGGTACCGATGCTCCGTACGGTGTCCTCCGTAAAATGCAATTTCCTCGGCATGAGCGCTGATTCGAGCATGCGCCTCTCGGAGTCGTCCACGTCGCGACGCCTCCTCGGCCACCAGCTGACCAAACCGGGGAGAAGCCACACGTAATACTTGGCCCGTTAATGCGATCACAGCTGCGGCTAGCAAGGGACCTGTATAAGTGTGATAATAGTGGTAAGGATAATTTTTCCCTATTGAGACTGTAAACAGATCATTATTATTCTATATAGTGTAATGGTTATGTAACAGATGAAAGACAATCACAAATAAATTTGTATTAATTAGGGAAGACATAACTACTAATGGTGGTTTGGTGATTGATTTGCAAAATAAATTGAACTTTGATCATTTTGTTGGATGATTAGATAAGGCGATATCTGAAATTTGATAAAGAAAAGTTATTGAGATAGTCACAATATATGAAACGTTATGGCCTAATGGCAATCTGAATGAAGCAGAAGTTAAAACAATAAGTGTCCTGAATTATTGATCATAAATTGTCAGTGTGGAAAATTTGGTTATTTTTATAAATGAAGTAATGTAAAGAAGGAAACTCTTTACATAGACCCGTTGTGTTATGATATACTACGTTGCAAGTCATGCTGTACTATAACTTTGAAGTGCTAAAACTTGTTTACGTAACAAGGATAAAGGAATGAGTTATGCTATTGCTAGAGGTATTATAATCATTTATGGTACCTGGAACAGTCCTGGCCCCCATTCGTGCAGAGAACGATGCCAAAGCAATTCCTACCAATGCACAATCCAATAGTGGTTTAGTTAAACTTGAGTACAAATGGGCAACAGAACTAGCTAACTCGGATAAATCATCTGTCAGTCTTTGCTCTGCTCCTCCCAAACGAGAATCCAGTGCAGATACTCTATAGTAGGTTTGTTGACTCAAATACATCTTGTACGCATATTCCACCAATCTCCCCCTTTAAAGACCAAAAAAAATATCAAGCTAACTATAAATTTATTCCACAACAATATAAAAGAAATCAATTTATCTTTATATACCTACCTAAAGCTAAGTGCCAGTCGACCCTCCAAATACCTAATAGCTGAATTAACAAAAGTAGCAGGAAAAGCAATAGCGAACCACCTTGCTAACATATGAAAGAAACCACGAACATCTCTAAGAACAATACGTTTAACAATTTGCCCTTCTAAAGTAGCAACATAAACTGACAAAAATGTTCTTGTCAAAAGAGCAAATGTTGCACAAGCCAGAAGTCCAGCTTCCTTGGTACGCCATCCTGGTACCATAATCTTAAGTAAAGTAATAAGTTGCCTCAAAAATGCTCGATCAAGACCGACATTGACCTCTCCCCCGGATACTTTTTTATTTCCATTAACGACAGTACTAAGTGCCCCATCCTCATTATGTCTCTTTTCACAATGATTCTCCTTCAAACTCTTGCCGTCACTTTGTCCACCACTTTCATTCTTTGTCTTTTTTCTCTTGCCACCACCAACCAAATATGGATATCCAAGCTTAAGCAAATACAACGTTGTCACTATGCCAACAACTCCCTTTGTCAGTCGTTCCCGACGAATTCCACAGGTAGCAGACGTTTTGACAATTAATTTCGAGAAGACCGACGACATCCTGACGAGTTCATTGATCTCTTCAACCTCTAACAATTCAAATATCCGTTAACTTTCCCCGGTACATGTCCAGCTTCATTCGCGCACGATAACCTGGCGCGATACACTAGCTACGGATCAAAATCCAAGAATATCTACGTTCACCGGCTACCAGCTGGCGACTGGCTGATCATCGCTTGGTCTTGCTATGTTAACTCGAATACTCTCCCAACCACAAGCCATTCTCTCAGCAAACTAGCGTGACTGGTTGGTCTGGACTTGTTGTCGCACACGTCATACGTTTCTCGCCTCTCATACGGTTCTTTAGTAGTCGTAAGGATCGTCTCTTTAAATGTTCTTTAGCCTCTGATTTCTTCAGCTACTATCAACTACTAGTACATGAGCACTCAGTATTTGTGCGTCTTTTTAACAAGTATTCACGTACTTGAGTCATCTTTCAATGATAACAAAGAAGATCCACGTGTATAGTATACGTGCGTTTTAGCGGAAACCAGACGCAATCTACTTTATCAAGTCTGATATGTCATAGTGCTACGCGCAAACCTATGCTGAGATTCTGTGACATTTGGCCTCGGCCAAAGCATATACAAAACCACGTGCCCCATTAGATTTTTATCATCGAGAAGACAAATCCATTTACGTCACGTATGAATATAAGATAGCGATATGATATTCCATCGTCCATCTTATACATTACTGTAAGACTCTTAACCGTGCAGGAGATAGTTTGGAGATTCGTACCGAACGATAGGGAAAGCGGGCTTCTTTCGGCTTTACCTGGAGGAGCCCGTTTCGCGTTTTGTACAGACAGAGAAAGTAAAAGTCGCCCGTCCATGAGCGGATTTATTCGACGCCTCGTTACCTTTATTTTCTTAGTTCTTTTGGTGTCCATCTGAATTTTTATTCTCATTTTTTTCTTTCTTCAATACTCGATCGTCAACTATTCACGCAGTAAGAATCTTCCAATGCTTACACGCAAGAATAAGCTCTTCTAAATCATTCGTAATTAATTATTCATATAATATGTAAAAACGAATTTCATTAAATACTTTTATAACGAACGTATTTCCTAACCTCTCAATATAAGTGTATATATATATATATTTACTTTTATATACAGGATATACAATGTATATACTATACATACTTGTTCACTGTCCAAGTATAATTCGTGCACTCATGCAAACCTTGTACATGCGTTATTCTCATACACCGTTTAAGTAATTATATTTTACTCGAGAAATAAGAGTTGGTAGACCACGGCAAGGACCGTTATCATGACCCATTGGATAACAGCCGGCAAATACAATTTCTCGTTTCCTTTTATTCCACAGATTTTAGTATGTTGGTGAGCGTGCGTGATGTGTCTGATACGTATGAGACACCAGAGGATTATCGTCGTGTGACAGCTGCAAAGAAGAATTGCCATCCGACAAACGGGACGGCATCCGGGAAATACTGCCCAACGGATAAGACGGCAGTGCTTCGAGTATTCGTGGTGGGTTCTTCCTCAGGGTCGTTATGCCCGGATAAGAGTTGGGCTTTGACATACTGTCCTCGACCAGCCAGCCAGATCCTTGGCTAAATTGTTGCCGTTGGGGTCTGTAACTGCCGTCAGGAATGGCTGGTGCGCTACTTTGTAAATTTAAGGCACTCAACTGCGAGTAATTGTTTCCATTCGATGTGATCTCGTCCGATCCACCAGATTTACTCAGACGTCCCACAGTTTCTGAAATTTTTAATACAGAATATTAACGCGAGTGCTCAACTGGTAGTTTTAAGAGAGTGAAAAATATAAATATAATATATGCACATTTAGACCTAACTTTCATTGATCATAAATTGGGATACTATATCTTTATATCATATTTTTTTTTATAGTGATATCCTCAGAGACCAACAGTTCGTTATGCCTTGGGTCGATCTGTCAAGCTTTCTAATTTCTAACCTGATGATACTTTCGAAATTCCCTGTGCTTTTGCCTATGATGTACCGATCAATTGCATACAAATTCATTATGAAAACATTGAGTCGTTTGGTAAATATTATTTGGCAATGACTTCGTAACCATCAGCGACACCAACAGCTTCCCTGATGATTCCACAATAAATGACTGCACGTTGCAACTTACCAATAGTCTTGGCTTCCCGTGCATGAGCAAGAAGAGCGTCTATCCGACTTCTGCGGAAATAAGTATCCACGATGTCGCGCTTTTTAAATTCCTTTTTATCATTTTCTCCAGAATCATCGTTACCGGTATCATTGTTGTTATTGTGATCTAGTTCGGTATTATTAGTCGAGCCATTGGTGTCTCTTGGTAAAGGAGGTGGCGGCAGAGGTATATGAGGTGTCACATCCGGAATTCTCCAGCGACCAAGTTCATCGCACCAGGTCGCTGCTGCTCGGACTGCTGCAATATCGCGGAACGGACAGCCAGGTCGCAGATGTGGAATCATGGCATCGCAGAGTTGAGTGGCGAGAAGTTCTCTTCGAAGAAGATCTCTCCGTTCCGCGTCCCAAGATGCCTGAAGATCCGCCGCTTCAGCTTCCAATTGTTTCGCTCTTTTAGCCATCCTCTTCAGTGCATCCTCCGTAGACTTCAACTGTCCATAGACCTCGAACGCGCCATTACCTTCTGCAGCACCAGCCTCCAAAGCTCCCGCTAGCGCTTCCAATCTTTTTCTCCTCCTCTCTCGTCTTCTTCTAGCCTCAGCATCCCCTCTGGCTTCGCCACCTATCGTGAGTCTCTCGAGTCTCCTCATAACCTCCTTCCTGGCTATTTCGCGTTTCTTTCGTCTCTTCTCTTCGCGCTCTGAATCCAATTCCTCGTCTTGTCCTTTTCGCTCCGTCTCCAGGCAAGCCCCGCTACTTCCATCTGCAGTGAATCCTGATCCTTCGAATCGAGACCTCAGCAAGGACAACTCTTCTTGAAGTTTCTGTGCGGATAAAGTCGAGTTCTCGCACTCTCTCTTGAGCCTCTCAACCTCGTCCTCGTAGCGTCCTTCCCGATCGTCCTCATCCTTCGACAACGTAAGACCACCACGAGGATTGTCATTGGACTCTAATAATTTGCGTAACCTCTGCAGTTCCAATTGGTACTGTCTCAACAGCGCATCCTTTGGGTCCTCGTTAACAACAGGTTTATTCTTTATACACCGTGCCCTGGCTGCGTACCTGAGAGTACTGAGAGTCTCATCAGCATCAAGGTCGCAGGGACTGACACAAGCTATCATAAGAGTCCTGGCATTGCCACCAAGACTGTCTCTAAGCAGTCTGGTAAGTTTACTGTCTCTATAAGGTACATGTCTGCCATTACCCGCTGCCAAAGCACTTATGACATTGCCAAGTGCAGAAAGACTTAAATTAATACTAGCAGCTTCCTTCAATCGATCACCCGTCGCTCCGGTTCTAGCTTGTCTCTCGGATCCGGCAAGATCCACCAGGTGAAGTCTGCCTCTCCTAACGGCGCTACCACGCTTATCATTCTCGTTTATCGCTATAGCCTCAAGGGCAAGAGTCAGGACTGCGTGACTCCTAGAGCTGGCTGCATTCATCTTCGTAGCCGCAGCTGCTCTACGTCGATCTCCTTGCTCGACCAATCGAGCGCATTCCGCAGCATCCTTAACGGTGACCTCGCGAAGACCACCTGCCACGTAGGTTCCTCTTGAGCTATCCTCCTTCAGCTGTAGCAGCCCTTCGCTCTCGGCGCTACTGTCCTGCAGTAGGTCTCGCAGTCGCTCATTGTAGATCTCCAGGTAGCTCAGAAGTGCCAAGTACCTCGTCTCCGAACTCGAGGTCGAGGTCGCTTCGAAGAGATGCTCGAGACTGCGCTCGATGAAGCCGTGCATCGTGTAGGATTTTCCACAGCCTGTTTGCCCATAGGCAAAGACTGTACCGTTGTAACCGTCCAGAACGGCCTCCACCACCACGGAACCAACATCCTCGTAGACGGACTCCGTTGTCGACTCTGCACCAAACGCAGCATCAAACTGGTAGACCTTTCCGCCGGCGTTCGACGTGCCCTCCAAGGTACAGCTCTTGGTCGACGGATCGATCGTAACGACATTCTGTGAATAAGGACGTAGCTCGATTAATTTTCAATGGTAAGCGTTACGCGTTTGTGCCTTTCGGAGAATCCTTGAATGCCTGGTCAAGGCGTAAAGATTCGCGCAAGCGCTTTTTAGTGTGACATCAATACCAGTTAACGATATATTGGATATTCAGTGGTATTATACGAAATTAATTTAATTAATTTTATGCCATCCAAGATATACGTGTCTACAGCAAGTCAACTAACACCCATGACCGTGCCTAAAATAACTCTAGAAAAATATGTGATACGAGTTTTCGGTATACTGCATTACTATATGATATATCCCATAAAATATTTATACGTCCTTGAATGCACGTGTCATCAATGAATCACAAAGTCAAAGAGACAAGGCAATGTTTTCAGTTTCGTCGAATCCTTTCTGAATCATATCTACACTCGAGATAATCTTTGCGTGATCTTTGAGATTGTTTTTTAAAAAAAGACCATATAATACTCAACACTGTCATCGATAACCGTACACTCCGTGACGTTGACTTATGATTAGTTTGAGTTCATGGCAACGTCATAGTATTCCGTTATCACGAACAGTGTGTACGTGAAATTATTTAGTCTCGCAAACATATGCCTATACTTTTACATACGTGCATACTCATTCTGTCATGATACATTGTACGTACACGAGTTCGTGTTGCGACATATCGATGGAACAGAATATGTGCCGAATCGATACAGCGTAGGCAGTCTTTACCACCTTCAGCCTTACAAGCTTATAAATTATGAACAATCGTTCGTTGAAGCTTAAGTGCTAATGGACACCTCTGATGGTTGTATATACCGTGTCATACGTACTTTCAGATTGGTTCATGGTACCAGTTCAAATTGTAACAATCGTCTTTACAGTTAACACGACCGACACCTGTCGCACGGTGAGGAAATACAAAAAATAATGTGCCGTCGGATAGGAATGCAACGCTGAATAGATAGCCGTGTGTTTTGGTGCGGTCGCCAAGGGTTACAAAGCGCTCGATAACGATGACGGTTTTGCACTAGTGAAACAAATAAAAAATACACATTACTAAACAGTGCACTGGATCTAAAAGCATTCTAGAGATGCATTAAGTCTGAGAATTACCGGCTGGATTTACATACGTTATATAGACAGTGTGTACTATAGGTATGAGACCTACATACCCGACAGCCTTGTTGCAATTCTCGTTGCGAGATTGGACGGCAGCGCACGGCTACCTTTACGGACTCGCTCATCTGATTAAAAAAAAATTAATTTAAAGTAAAATTATTAAGGTTATCGAGAGAACAATCGAATTCATTTTTAATGTCTTAGTTTTTTTTCTCAATGTGTTTCTCGCTACTGATATACGGCTCGAAGTGCCCAGAGACCTTTTTTTGGGTGGTAAACTGTATAATTCGCCAAGTAGCAAACGGTCAATCAATTTTGCAGGGTTCGATAACCTTGCCTCCTCCAGAGCCATGTTTTGCCCTTGAACCGACAGAGACATTGAACCTTCCGTCGTTGTTGGGAACGCGATGGTTTCGTGTAATACGCCTGCCCGGTTATTGAGTGGACAATAATTGTTCGGGTGGTTTTGGGAGGGTTGAAGGTTATACATAGGTATGATGGGGTCTGCTTACGATGTTCGTGTCCGTCTAAATATGAAGGTGAATTCAGATTATAAGGGGTAGATAGAAAGGTGACCGCGTGACCGAGTGTCCCTCAGAGTTTGACCTAGTCGCTACTGGCTATAAGAGGTCTCTAGCCATAGCTAGTTATAAGTACATATTGTACGTTTTTACCTAGAACAGTTTTTGTTCAGGAAAAAAAAGGTTTTATAGTTTGATGCGTCATCCACTAGACCATTTATAATGCTTGATTCTAACCTTTGATAATATTTAGTCATTACTTTTTCTTTAAATTTTTCTAAGAATTTCATACCGATCATTATGATGCATATTATTTCGTTTCCGTCTTGAGAAAAGTATCAAGTGCAATGATATTAATAATATGTACGTAAAGCATTGATTTGTATGTTAATATATGCAGTAATAGCGTGTCTCGTGTAATTCTGTGGGAGAACAAGCTTTTTCTTGTTGTGGAGTAAAAACCGATTTTTGTATTGTATATTTTATAAAGATCGTCTGTAATGTATTATTCAGGTATTTTAATTTTATTAATTAGTACGTTAAGCTCAGCTCATTTTCATAGAGCTGAGGAGAGCAATTCTAAATCAGGATTCGCTATACGCAAAATTAATTGATATTACCGATCAGTAGTACATCTTCATCAATCAAAGGATTTGCAAGGCTGTATTGCAACACGTGGTGATTTGTTCGCGATATGATATCTATGATATCCTTATATTACTCTATCCTTAAATGGGATCTGTGTTAGATTCCTCACTTACCTTGGTAACGTAAAAGATATACTTGTCATGGGATACCGGTGTTAATTATCTTCGCAAGTTTTCTCTTTTTTTTTCTTTATATTTTGTCCTTCGAATATAATACAGGATTAGAAAGAAGCACGAGTTACTCGCGTTATGGCCAAAGATTCTGGACTGAAGGCTCAGATCCCAATACAATAAGAATGAATTTTCCCGAGTATTTTGTGACTTGCGCTTCGGTTCATTCGAAACTACTGTGACCTGCGCGTTGCCATTAGTTACGCGTGATACCAGCGCTACTGTCTCCGTCGGTAAGATAGTCCGTTTTAATTTACGGTTATACAAATTCGTGAGTTCCAATTTTTGGAATCTTATATATAAGAATAGTTGTGTGACGAACGATGGGTACTGATTTTAAGAGCGAGAAGGAAGTGCAGGACTACTTGAAGAACCTTTATATAGAATATAAATTTGGATGTTATCATGACAAGAATGCAGAAAGTAAGTACTGAACGATATTTCGAGGTTAGCAATTCTGTTCTAGTTTACAATGATGTATATGCATTTTCTATAGCGTGTCACTTACTGGGAGATTATGAGGAGAGTATCAAAAAGGACGATGCTAAGGCAGGGGAAGTTTACAAGATGAATTGTGATACGTATAATTATGGAAAGAGTTGTGTACGATACGGGAGCTATTCGTTCCTCGGTAAGATAGTGTAACTCGCATGGTATTAGTGTAAATGTATCTATTCCCGGCACGAAGGAAATTACTATTTCTCACATGATACTATTTTTTAAATGCAATTTATGATAGAAAATTAGAAAAATTCCATATCTTAATAATCTGTAGACACGTTTCAACGGTTATGTATATTTCGATAATTATCTAACAGGTAAGGGATGCAAAGAGGACCGATTAACAGGATACAAGTACTTCAAGAAAGCGTGCGAAACAGATAATCCAGAAGGATGTACAAACGCTGGCATTATGGCAGTTTCCAATGAAGATTTTGACGAAAAGGACAGATCGACGCAAGTTAATAATGGCGTCGCTATGTTGAAAAAAGCCGCCGAAGTGTTTAACAATGAAAAAGCTTGCTTCTATTTGTCAGGTATTTACATTAGAGGGATAGAAGGACATTTAGAGAAAAATCTAAAGGAGGCTTATAAATACTCTACAAAAGCTTGCGAGCTTGGAAATCCATATGCGTGTGCAAACGTGGCACAAATGTACACGCGGGGCGAGGGCGTTGATAAGAACGCAGATGAGGCAGCTTCTTACAAACAACGTGCGTTAGAATTACATAAAGAAATTAAACATGGTAAGAGGAGTGTTGAATTCCAACAAGGGCTCTGAGTCTATTATCTTTTAATTATAACATCAATTGTAGTATTATTTATTAGCAAGAACTTGCAATGATTAAAAGACTATCGGGACTACCTCTAAGTTATTACAATTTTTTCAAATATATTATTTAATAAATTGTAAATCTCGTTACTTCATCTGCTTTTTCACTGTATATTTACAATCTTGTCCCATTAGTTTGTATACTACGTGTCTTTTCTTTATTATCGAATCTTAATGGGGAGTCATTTAGCTTTTACCCAAGAGATTACAGTACATATGTATATGTATAAATATACGTATACATTGAATTTGATAAATTTCTGTAATTAGAAAATATATTTTGATGAATAAAAACACAAAAAAAGATATTAGTCGAACAGAAAAATAGCTAAGTTTTCATTGAATATTCCAATCCATTAGGTACTATAAAAGCTTTGAAGGGGACAGCTATAGGAAGCGCTTCGAATGAATAACTGCCCTATTACTCGTCTGTCGCATCTAAAATTGACAAACGACATACATTGCGCATTTAAAATACATGAAAATATATTGCGCATAGATACGAAATCAATTACTGAAGAAAACATCCCCATTACTTTTTGTCTCCTCTGCTCGAATCACATTTTCAAAACTAGTCAAATCCAAACGAGACGCTGAATACCAAGGGTATATTCCCGCACCACGCTGTAAGCGACCCCAGAGGCACTAAATAAATATACAGTCGTCACCACTAAGATTCTCCGCATCTCACCCTCTTCTCAGAAGCGTTCATAAATCCTTATCATACATTTTTCCCAGTGTTTATCCTTCAAAAAATGTCGTATGCCGAGCGAGGGAATGTAAATGAAAAATGATCTCATTGTCTCAATCGTATTAGTACAAATCTCACGAACGCCTCCATATCGCCGAATCATATCGCGCGAGAGCACGCAGAGTAGATATAATGATTATGTATAAATAACCGATTAGACCTTATCAGGATTCATTTGAAGAAAAGTGAGGGATATAAAGGGGAATAAATAAAAGAGGGGCAGTCATTCCCATACGGAACCGCTTTGCTTCTTAAATACCACTGTACTCTCTGTTCCCCTCTTATAATCTTTCAGTCCCCTCTCTTTCCCTTTCTATCTCATGTCGAAACTAGCCGTCCCACAAGTTGCACTCTTGTAGCGATCACTCGTTCAGCATTACACCAACGATGCGGTTCTACCTGACTACCTCGATCTCCACCCTGGCCATAATAGCCGCAACGCTTTGGAGCTATGGGATACCGGTAAGCGTATGCAATTTGTATAACAGAAATTCAAATTTATAAACTGACAATTCGAGTTGTCTACGAATAATGTCCACATAAATTATTATTCGTATGAAAAATTTGTATAGCAAATAATCTACGTAAATCCATACTAATTTGCACAGATGGTCGATGCCATTACGCCTGAATTTACACGTCTCAAGATTGATGTCTATTACGAATCGTTATGTGGTGATAGCGTCAGTTTCATTAGGAATCAGCTAGTTCCCAGCTATGCACTACTGAAGAATGTTCTTAATGTGACATTCGTTCCTTATGGCAAGGCTACGGTGAGTATCATACTTCAGATGCCATTTTTATTCTATAAAATATTCTCAAGGCAGTGTTGTTTGCCCCAAGAATCCACTTTGGAAACGAGTTTGATCCAGTTTAAAAAGAAAAAGGATGTGGCGAGTCGTATCTATACAGTATATGTTTCCTTAAGCATTCACTCTTCATGAGCGATGATTAGTTAAAAAATATAATTAAAATCTTTTCAGTTCTCCTTGGCGTGGACATTACATTTCTCATTGTTCGCACAATCTCCATGGCGTTGCTTATCCCGTAACTCATTCTTTTTATCTATACTTTCTGAATTATCAACCAAACCACGCTGAAGTGTAACTGATAATCGCACAAAACAGTTACTACCAGAAAATTATTTAGTACATTAATTTTTGTGTAGTCCAACTTTACCTATTAATTTATCATAGTATCACGCCCTTATGATAATCATTTTTGTAAGGTAGCATACAAAAAATTCTCAAACTGGCAAGTGGGAATTCGTCTGCCAGCATGGAATTCATGAATGCAATGGAAATATAGCGCAAGCATGCGGTCTTGCCGAAATTGGAAATTTATCGCTGGACTTTCAGCAACGCCAGGATCTAGCTGTTAATTTCGTTGGATGTGTTATGAGCGACAGACATCCAGCAACGGCAGTTCCACGGGTACTTGTACAAATAAACGTCAAAATTTGCTCATGATAGCCAAAACCCGCTAATCGTGAATATTTTTTTCCACAGTGTACTGAACACGTCAGACTTGCTGAAGCTTCCCGGAATCGGATTAATCAGTGTAAAAATAATACTGAAGGCGATGAATTATTGGTAGCAGCTGGTAATAAATCAAATCTAGTCCAATCGCCACTTTCATTCGTCCCCACTATCGTTTTGAACGAAGTAAGTTAATATTTGATTTGAATATACGTCAAGTAAGATACCAATTCTAATATACGTTTCTTGTTCATTGTTACAGAACTTTGATAGTGACCAGCAGTACAATCTGCTATATAATTTCGAAGCATTCATTTGCGGATTGATACCTGAAGAAGGAAGACCTTCAGGATGCAATAAGTAACTATCTATCATAGCCTAAAGAAATAATGGCTTTCATAATTACAGGAATATCATTGCCCTTCATGGTTTGATTCGAGTATATATGCTTTATGATATGTACAGATGCATATGTACAAAAAATATACGACTTACGATTATTATAATTGTATAAAAATTCATTTAAAAAAAGTAGTCTTGGCTTTGGTGAGTACACAGCCTAATTAAAAAGGCGTATAAATTCCTATTGAGATCACGTTGATGAATTTCTTCCATCTTCACTTCATCATCCGATGAACACCGAATCATCCAAATTACTCAGCTCCAAAAATTGCTGCTCAATGTCCGATCCCAGCTCCTGAAAGTCCGAGACGTCATCCTCGTGGCAGTAGCCTGAAATTAGTTTTTCTTAAGTATCAAGGCTACGTTTGTCAACGAAAGATTATTTTCCAATTATCGGTTCTGTCTTTCGCCATTGGTCGGGCTAGTCTATAACTTGAGTAGGACGCGTGTGTCGCACGTGGCACTGGAATCGGCTGTGGCGCGTGCGTGCATATGAGTACGTGCATGGCTGGGCCAAAAAAGCATCGAATATTATTTTAAGCCTCGGTGTGGGGTAGGAGCATAAAGCGGCGAACCTCCTCTGAGATTAAGTATGGACGCCTGAAGTTTCACTGTCATCATTATCATTATTGTGACGCTTACCGTAACAGTGGCAGTTAAACAAGCATAACTGACATGCACTATAAAGATTAACTTTAGATAATCCACCCACTGACAACGTGTTAGAAACATTCTTGTTTTACTATTGAATTACGCGTCGAGGTCATTGCCATGCCGAAAGTAGAACGTCCAAAATGATATTCGTTCACCTTACGTAAGTATGAAGATTATATATATATATTATATATATTTTAAGAGATACTTTTTATTTATGTTCAAAAGACTTATTATTTTAAATACTCACCAGTCGTATTGAGGACTGTGTGATTCTCGTCACCCATTAGAAATCGGCGTACGGATTCATAGGGAACAAATTCGTGTTGGCTGTCTTCAAAGGACGTAGGGAGTTTCTCAACCTGACAGGAATTTCCATGGAGAAGCTCCAGGTCGTCCTCTGTGTCTAACTCTGAATTTTTACAGAGTCTATGATGTACAGCTGTAGACAGAGGACAAACCTCTTGAGTATGTTGTCTGTGCGTAACGGTATGAGCGTTCAGATGTGTCCGATTGATTGTTGATTTACAAGAAATTCCTGTGGTCGTGCGATTCCCTGTAGACGAGGTCGTAGACGATGTAGAAGATGTGGACGATATCGAGGACGATGGTTCTGCGTGATTCTTCACATGCTTTCGTAAACTCGACGGGTCGGTATATCTTTTACCGCATCCGCTCACTTGACAGGCGTATGGTTTCTGTACATAACGGATTCACGCCATTAAAATACCATTCGAAAGTATCATAACAAGGCACTTAATAAATGCTTAGTAATACCGTGTCGTAATGAGTCCTCTGATGTTTAGCGCGATCGCTGCTATTACTGAAAGCTTTTGAACAGCCACGATGTTGACAAGCATAGGGTCGTTCACCAGTGTGCGATCTCTGATGAATTTTCAAATTCTCTAACCTGGAGAAAGCCTTTTTGCATCCGGCAAACTACAAAGAATTAATCAATGAAAATTGGATTAACGTCATATCTAAGAAATGAGGCTATGCTGTCCGTCCATTGCTACTTACTGGGCACTTGTTCGGCTTTTCACCACTGTGAACTCTCATATGTATCAGGAGTTTGTATCTGGCGTTAAAGGGTCGTGCTCGTGGACAGCCTTGCCAGAGACAGGCGAACTCATCCTGGCTACCGGTAGTCGTGGTTGCATTTGCACTAGAAAAAATTGAGTCCTTTTCTTTTTCCCTTTCCCTATCCTTGTCTCTGTCTCTCTGTACTCTTCTACTATGACCGTGGGCATTCGCAGAGGAAGCTTCCACGTGTCTCCTTTCAATGTGTCGAACGAGACCTTCCTGCTCAGCGAATGCACAACCGCAATCAACCCATCGACATTGATAAGTGGATCCGAATCCATCTTCGGTGGTTGTGCACCCTACGATTGAAATATAATATTAAATAAACTGTTTATACTTTCTACTGAAAGATCTGGGTAACAGAGTCTCAAGTGCTTACCATACGATTCTTCAAGTCTGACATTCTCCCGCGTTGAATTTAAAGTTGAAATACGTCTCTCTTCACTGCTGAGAAGTAAACCCTCGTTCCTTGGTAGAACAACTTGATTGCTACCCTCTGTGAGAACATTATCCTCAGGACTTTGCTTAAGGGATATTCTCTGGTGTGGTAGATACGTTGATGTGGTAGTTGTTGAAGATTGTGATGATACAAGATGCCCAACTGAATAGCAGGATCCATTAAAACTTCCAAAAGGATCCTGGAGTTCATCCAGGTAGGTAGAAGATGGAGATGACGGGGAGCCAACGTTAGTCAACAGAGATGTAGGATCGCCTCTAATGAGACTAAGATCGAATTCATCTGCGATTTGCATAGAATTGGAATTCTGTGTATCTGGAATCTGTCCTTGTACAGGCAGTGGCATAGGTAAAGTCAGCGGTACATCTTCTCGATAATCTCGATAATCTTGAAAATCATGATAGTCGGAATATTCTTGATAATCTGGATAAGCACCGGTACAGAATGACCTGGAGAATGAGAATGCTGTCCCGACCGAGGGTAATCTTTGACTTATAGAATTCCCATCTGACAATCCATCGTTTGAATATTCTCCATACTCGCTCCCAGCCAGTATACTTCCCCAAGTAGGTGTAGGTGTCTCACTACCTGTACTATCAGGCGATCGAACTTCAGTACCTCCAGATGGATATGGTTGACAGGAGTATTGCAGAGCCGCAGCCAAATGTTCCCAATTCGTAGACTCTCTAAGATTCGGACTGAGTAATAAAGGAGACAAATTGCCTGGATCGTTTTGCGATGAGCTCCAGCAAGATTGCGTATTCGTAATAGTCGCCATGCCAGAGCTGGTGGACCCACCGAAATCGTCTTGAACCGAAGACACTGTCCGGTGAACATCCTGGTTCCTCTCAGCGTACTCCTCCAAGTGCATCTTGTCTCTTCACCAAGGAGTGCAAGAGACCCCCTATAATCCAAATCCGCGTGGCACTCGCGTGCGTAAGCGCGCACTCCTTCTCGTCTCCTTCGCCGATGAAGAGGATCAAAGGTGGTCGACGGATCTGACCAAACTGACCCGAGATAAGCTGATCGTCACAGACTCTGAAGCCACTAAAAGATGACTTCTTCGAGATGCATCCCCACCATAATGGCAGGAGCTGGTGCAGTGAGAGAGTGCAAGAAAAGAGAGGGAGAATAAGGGGCAAAAGGAACTGAGGAGGGAGAGGAGTAGATACGAAGAGTAAAAGAAGGGATAGAGAGAAAGAGGGATGTACCGCCCACTCGCGTGGCTCTCGTGTCCCTTACTGTATCTTACCAGAGCGAGCAACCTCACGACGGGGGTCGTTGGATTCTGGTAGTGTGCAGCAAAATAGTGCATCCAGAGGGCTCGTTATACTGGTTGCACATCTGTGCACCCGTCCGTCATCCTCATCATGGTGCTCCTTTCGAATTCGTATGGTTTTTGCTCAGGAAGGCTCGCTAAGATATCACCCCCGTAGCTCCACCTAAGCCGCAGAATTTGACACAGCACAGTTATACATCTTGACCCCGCTGCGTTTGCATCCCTAGGGGATGAGTAAAGTATCCTAATTAGACCCTGCCCACCTAGAAAGTCCGAGGAAAAAGGGCTGATCCATCCTGAGTGATGACTTTTATTCCCAGCAAAGGATGTCCATACGAGTACAAGGGTAAACAGGGAGTACCGTTTTTTTCCTGCTGAAAAATTTAAAAAATATTTAGGTACAAGACCACAGAAGCGAATCTCGCTACAGGGTGGCTAAGGAGATCATCCGAGAAGGCGAAGGGTATTCGCTGAGGCTTTCGTCGCTCGAGCCCCGAGAATCGAGGACCCGACAAAAAATGTAAAACCAGCTGCCGCACACGCGTCACTTATTAACAACAGTTTCTCCGAGAGAACACACGATCTTAGCGTGCGTCGTCTTAGCATTTCTCCATTTCTTTTTCTATCCTTTTTCAGTCTCTCTATACCTCGAGCTATTCTTATTATATTGCCCTTTTTCTACAGTACCAAAACCCCATCCCTTTCCCGTCTTCAATTTCCATGGAAATTCTAAGCTCCGCTCGACACATTTCTCCAATACATAAGGTATACGACATTCACCCTCCGAAAGCCACCCTCAACGTGCACGTCATCCACGGTGTACAAACAGTGGCTGCTACTTGGAATGTCACTCGTATCTTGGTAGTCCCTTCAACCCTTATCTTTTTCCTCGTCCTTTTTTTCTTCACGTCTAGAAGACGTTTGTGAATCTGAAGCATACGGTGCCCAGGCACTTTTATCGTAACCAGCAGGTGCCTAGTTCTCCTCGTCCCAATCACTTTAGTGAAAACTGTAAATTTTATAACTATTAGACTAACTCGAAAGTCTCTCTATGCACTGTATGCAATTGTGGTACATACGCAATCCCATGTGTCTCTACGTGGTTGCAGTTCCTTCTTTGCGTACACGCACGTGCGTTCTCCTACCGCCCAATCACCCCTTGAACCCACGTATACATATGTAATCGCGCGTGCTAAGACGCCACACGTACGTGCACTTATACTCACGTAGAAGCCATGGTCCGGTTGTATGTCATATTACGGGTAGATAAGTGATAGAGTGGCACATGTGGTCTGCCAGCCCTCTATGCTTACATTATATGTACTATGCTCGCCCGCTCCCTCCTTTTTTGTCAAGGCACCTGTCAACCTCGTTCATACCATAGTCACCGCATGTGTATGCCTGTCTCTAAAATAATATACTGGAAATGGACTGATTCCAATCGTGGCACGCATACGGTACAAGGAGATGGAAGAAATGGAAGAGACCTGCAAGAGAAAGAAAGATGGAATATGGTTGTAGTGAAAAAAAAAAGATAAAGAGAAAGGAAAAAGATTGAAAGCAATCCGAGCTTTCGTTGGGCGGTTTTGAGAGAGCTAGTGAACCTTCTGGTTTTTCAAAAATCTTCTACAGGAAAACTAGAAACGTCTGCAGGGGTACTATGGGAAATATTCAGTGGTGCGTATACGTATAGTGCGTGAAGGTATAGGGATAGTTTTGAGTGATTTTTTAAAAACTTGTTTTTTCTCGTAGACATTATCGCAAGAAACGGGACACTGTTGTAACATGCACCTGTCGTTGGTTAAGAGCGTCGGGACGTCGAATATTGGACTTCGCTGCACGTGTGAGCTACCAGATTTTTTGCTTTGGAATTTCTCGAGCGATGCGTATTGGAAATTGCTGCAGGGATGCATTTGTCGGCGTTTAGCGTTCGGCCAAGCGACGTAAAAATAGAAACGCGTGCGCTCTGCATGTGACTTCGTATAATTAGTATCGAACCAGTGAACGTGTTTGCATGTCCCATACGTTCCGAGTGCGGAGCAATGAAATGTCTCTGAGTTCGTGGCACTCGTTTTTTCTTGTTATTTCTTTCTTCTTCTCTGTTTTAGTCCTTTTTTCCCCTTCAACTTCTATACTTCATCACTAGTCAGGATGACTGCTGTTTTATACCAGACGTCATAACGATGGAAATTGTGCTGCGGAAATTATTAATTCTTTCGTAAACTCAGACCTCGTAAAAGTCGACAAGGATTAACAAGGGTAATCGAACCTTGTCTGGTTACGTGTGGAATGACACTCTAAATAGATATATCGTGTAGTTTATTACTTTACAAATAATCTTCTCATAGCGGAGCCGCTGTGAACTGGATGGTGGTCGTATAAAAAAATATTGACCGATTTAACGGCATCGCAATGTTAAACATCAGATGCTTCATTGATGCTGTATATTTAGGACTAGCGTAACAGACTATAATTACTAAAAACTGTACTACTTAAGTCAGATAGGTTCGCTCTTGGATACGAATTTGACATCAAGTTTGGGGTTTTTGAATGATGAGGCGATGCTTCGTCAACAATTGGAAATTGTTGTACGCGACCGCTTGACCAGGCGATGGTCAGACATATTTTTTCTAATATTTTTTCATAGTTTTGATAAAATTGCATGCAATTTGGTACTTCACCGGGAAAGCCGTTTATAAGACATCCTGGGCGAATTTCAACGGCTGTCGAATCTATTCTGACCTTGGTCTTGAACAGAGCAATCAAAGGGCTGTCCTATAATAGTGATACGATAAATGATTAATTGGTTATATTGTTGAGGTAACAATACTTCTGTACTGAACACCTACCTGAAAGAGTACAGCAAGATATTTGCCTGATGGATCCCAATCCATCGCGACGACTCGACCACCCACTATAACTTCGTCATCTCCATTTTCTGTAGGAAAGCTAACGCGGGTCATGTCTATCAAAGGAATAGCGACTTTGATATCACCACTGGCCACTGTGCCTTTGACATCAAATATATTCTCTAGCAGTGGAAGAGAAAATACGGTTGCTGGATCTTCAGTAGATGTGAATAACAGTGCTAAATTTGGGCCAAAACAGGCAGCAGCCACACGGCCGTTTGGTATTGTCCATCTATCCACAGTCCAAGTAGAACCCTCGTTGGTATTCCATATTCTATTAAAAGATTTCATCATTTTTTCAGTTAGAAGGACGTGCGGTAATGCATTGCACTTTGATTACACGAGTCAGCATTCTTAGGAGTCTAGTACTGGTACATCAAGTATTACGAAATATGACAGTTGGTATTGAAAATAACGACTGACCTAAAGACTGTACGAGTTGTGGCTGCGAGTAATCTCCAACCACAAGGTGACCATCGGGTAAAGGATAAACCACCACCTCCAACGCGTTTTAGAGGTACGCATGTTTCTTTTGCAACGTCCCAAACAATCATATTAGAATCGGACGGAGAACATGATACTAGTAGATCACCCTAGGATGAATTATTATGAATATTCGAAAATTGCATTTACGTTTGTGACGTCATACCTGAGGATGCCAAGTAACACTCGTAACAGGCGCGTGATTTCTCCGTCTCAAGAGTACAGCATGACTCAGTGAGTTACTCGTGACTCCCAACTCCACTGTCCATATTAAAACGCCTGACTGACAAGCTGCTGCGAGTTCTCGACCTGCATTTGGTCTCCAACTCATACAGTAGACTGATTTCTGCGCACTATGTCTTAAGACAGCTACTCCTTGTATATCTTGTGAGAAGATTCTAATCCGATCATCTCTTGTGGCTACTGCGAGGCGTGTGCAATGTGGATGCCATGATAGACAGCGAACCTGATAATTGAAATTTGATTTAGATTCATATAAACATAATTTTTGGTAATGTAATTGATGTATAATTACAAGAGCCGTATCCCAGTCTCTTGTGGCAGTAAAGTCTGCGACTGAACCAGAACCAGATACTGGCAAAAGTTCCTTTCTAAATATACCTTGTTCTATTAGTTCAAATACCCCTTTAAGTCTGAAATAAAAATAGTGATTTTATATATTGTAATAGTATTTTCTTTATATAGACTTGTATGTTATACCTTGAAGATATCCAGTGCAACGTTTTTGTAACTTGACTTGGATCTTCCATAGCAGTTGCCCGAACAGCTTCGATAAAACCATTTTCTCTCCATATACTAGCAATCTTTTTAAAGGCACTGTCTTGTACAGTTAGAAACAGCCCACCAGCACGAACAGTACACGCAGATTCACGAGTAGCTAACATGTCAGGCGTGATTAAGATATCAGGATAGTCTCGCAAGTAGACAGCAAAAGGCTGAGTCTCTACACGAAGAGCAGCACGATTACAATACATCGGAGTTCCATTCATCAAGGTGACAGTGATATTCTCATTAATATGAGGTTCCTCAAAATCATGTAATAATAGTCTCTTCATGATGTCTGTTGCCTGTTCTCTGAGAAACTAATCGAATACCTGTACCGACATTTTAAAGAAGTGTCAATATAAGGTTATCTCTTTCATATATGCGACCAGTGTTAAAAGTACAGAAAAAAAAAAGAAACTTACCAGCCAATTACTTCTCGCCACTTCGCTAAATGTTTATCTTAAAAAAAACAATTGTAATACTATAAATACATTATTGAAACAAGTAAAATTCTTATATCTACCTCAATAACGAGCCGGGATGGCGCGCTGAACTACAGCTGTTTATATGGGTTCCCATGGCACCAGCCAATGAATACGCAATTGGAGTTTGCGCATGCACCAGCCGAAGCGGAAAACCATCGACTCTATTCAAAATCAGTATCCATGCAGAAATCTATTGCCATACAACAGTTCTCATCATAATGGCAACATTGTTACCTTATCATTTCTAACAGTCCAGAGATCAAGGTGCAGTTTGCCAAGATAAATCTGGCAATCATACGTTGGAAAATTGAAAAATTGGTAAGAGGCAGTGTCGGCGTCGGCGTCGTTGGCGTTGTAGTTGGCTGGGAGAGCCACGTTAACGAGATGGCTGAGCCGCTCTCGGGAAGAGACTCTGTGCCAGGGTGGGGACGTTAAAAAGAGAAGGGGTGGGGACCGCAGTGTGCGATCGCTACTCGAACGGCACGGGTAGATCTTCAAGTTGTCTTCTGCTGCAAGGAGAAGAGCCCATAGAGAGAGAAATAGTTTGGAATTTTCCTGGTGGAATATCAGAACGAATCCAAAGAGAATGTATTGAGAAAGAGAGTGCGAGAAGATGAAGACATTATCACGATTCTCTCGCTAAAGGATAGTTCCGGAGATCGGCTAGCAAAGAGGGAAAACCGAGACGAAGAGGAAGACCAGGCCGGTCTTCGTGGGAGATGGGGAAGAAGGGTTCCAAAAGGAAAACCCGGTGGAGAACACTCAGTATAGGCGGTGAGTCTCGATTCTCTCTGCTTACGACACGACGTACCACAGTTCTTGCGATACCCTCGCGTTCCAATTACGTCACACAGCCTCCGACGGCCGACTTCCATGCATCGATCAGCTTCCGAAATTCCCTTGGAACGTGTGTCTTCATTTGTTGCCAAGAGAAAACTACAATTATGAATCTAAAGACTAGCCTTGGCAACAAGAGAATTAACATCCCTTGTAACGCTCCCCATATACCATATCGGAAATGTGGTGCTATCTCTTGGCCAACCTCGAGAACCCTTGACGAGGTGTGACCATCTTTTTGTAACCTCGAACAGGAAAAACAGTTCTTGCATCAATCATTCAAGTTCAATCTATATAGATTTCTATAGCTACACTTTTTTCTTCTAATACCTCTTGCTGATATAAACATTACAGTAATAGTAGATGCGCATGGGTGAGCATGTAGTCGAATTTCTATCCAACGATCATCGACTGGACTCTCATTCCCTCTTTCACCTATTTCCACTCCCTCTCATACTCTTCTACCTACCTTCCAACCCTGTATACCATCAAGCTGTGACTCCAGCGGAGAACCAGACGCTTTTGCCAGAGTATGCCTCGCGCCGAACCATCGATCCGCACCCCCTCCGCGACTTTTCCACCCCCTTGCCATACCTGTCTAGATAGAAAATACCTGTGCCCTCCTTCTTATCGTACTAACAAATACCTTAGTGTAAGTCGTTGCCTTCCGGAAAGTTCGAGATTACAAGTTTTCAAATGCATGGCGACTAGTCACAGAGACATACACATCTACACATAGTTCGTCTCCCTTCCACAAATAGAAAAAATCAGAAAAACACGCATTAAAGAGAATCCTCATGCGTATACAGCGTGAAAGACACATTGGAGGGCGTCAGGCCACATAGAATAATGAGCCGCTCGTACGACATACTCGCGCAATTGCCAAATGCAATAGCTGTGTTTCATAAGCAGCAGGGGACTAACTCCCTATGCAATGGAGTTAGAATCCAGAGTCCCCAGAGGTCACCGATGACCTCAAAAATCCGGACGAAAAGAACATTTTGCTTCACAATCCTTCATATACAATTATTGCCTCTTATTATATTTCCCTGTAGTCCACTTTCACGCGGGAAAGACCAAATCCTAATCGTAGCGTTATCATTCACTGACGACAACACTTACGAGACTCAAGAACGTTAACGCAACGGAGTTCATAACTCATTGGTGTCCTAGCGATAAAATCTACAATCACGGAACTTCAACTTATCAAAGACTCCATTAAACAATAACCAAATCTCCCACTAACCTCTACCAACAAATATACATAGCTTATTCTTCCACTCCATCGATTCCTTAATAACCTACAAGGATGATCCTCAACAGTGAATCTCTTTTCTATGCAGTTTCTCTTTACGAGCACGCGAAGTAACATCCGCTCCTCGTGTCGATTTGTATTCAGTTACGTAAAGGCGCGTAATTCAAATTTCATAATGCCCTCAGAAACCTGCGACGTGAATATAGCCAGTAGACATTTTCCATCGTCATTTCAAACCAATAAAACGTAGTTTCTAGTCTGGCTATCTAGGCGAAGAGAATACGACAGAAGTGTTACTAAGAGGAAGTAAAAGAAAGTCAGTCCGACTGGTTACCAGCTAATCGATAAGCGGTAGCGTCTCGATCGCTCCCTGTCTAGAATAGAAAACGAAACCTTTGTAATAACGTCGCTACAGTCCATACCGTTTGTCGTACACGAGCGTCTATGTCGACGTTAAAGTTTCATCAGATACTAGGAAACTCACGTTGCAATCTATCATTTATCCGTCTAAGCCAATCACGAGTTTTCTCGAAATGAACGAACGTATACCAAACGGATGATATACGTAGGTAGAATGAAGCTAAGTATAACACAGTCAAAACGTAACGATCCAAAGTACATATGCGTTTACACACGTGCGTTACCAGGCACGCGGTGCGTCTGTTACGTAATCACTCCCACATTTATTTTTCACGTACACGTATCTTCCGCAGCGTCAATGACGGCCGTCCGATCGCTCTGGTTTTATCCTGATCTGAACTTCCCTATGTCACTCTAACAAGATGAAAGGTTAATAATACGTTAAGACAGTTTTATCTCGATTTTAATTTCCCGCCGGAGTCATCGCACCACGACGCTTTAGTTTTCGTTTTCTGCTATCGAAGTCCAAAGAAATAGACGCGCGTTCTTTTTCTTATTCTTATTCTTGTACGTTCCACGCTCCACGTGCTTCACAGATCGTAGACCTTAGCGTCGTCTGTACGTTACGCAATCCCGCACCGGTAACGCAGAACTTTACGCTGGTTTCGTGTAATAGACGTATCGGACCGCTGCGAGCAACACGAAGCATCGAGCAGGGTGGAGTTATGAATAGCACGTGAGTCCCCACGAGGCTAGTCACATGCTTCCTAGTGGAATTTTCAGAGTATTCAGATGTCACGAGATGGCTATGACTTATTTTGTAAAATGGTTGTCCGCGGTCACAAAATTAGACGAAAAAACATATACTTCGGGTAGCAGTGGTACGTTTGATATCTACCAAGAAAATTTCTATTTATTATCTTTATCTTTCCGTCTTTTACTATTTCTTCATTTATCAGTCGTCCCGTCCGAGACTAGAAATTTCTGTATGCCAAGTACCGTATACGTGGGAGTGGCGCCGGTACCAACGTGATGCACAATGAAGATGCGCCTGAAACGCATCTGAGATGTCGCATGTGCTAGGTATATCCATTGCAAATAACAAACTTGATATATAAATATGTACGTTCCATTCCGGGTAATCTAATCTTTCGTCTAGCCTAGAGGTCCCGTTTGATTACCACTAAAAACAATATGGAACAATCACTTGGTGGATACAGTTTGACTGTTTATACGGTATATATCACACGTTGATAATTCCTCGACGTTCTAATAGCCGTAGGAATAATAAAATCATGATACGTTTTTAGGTACGGAAGATGCGTCGGTGTCTAATTTTATTATATGTTTATTGAAAGTTAGGTTGTCACAACAAGTTACTATCGTTACATACCTCAGTGATATAATACAGTATGGCTGTAGCTATTTAGGGTTTGAAACCGGAAGATTGTTCGTTTAGTCGTGAAATTTGATCGAACATCGTTTTTTTCGAAGACGTCAAACGGCTAAGGTGCTACAGATTTACCGTCGAAATGCGGTCCTATGTTTTCGACAATGTGACTAGACCGTTCTATAATGGTCCAACGTTCTAAATCACTTGTGCCACTGCCACTCCGCTCAGCCTCTCTTCATCTCTTGGAGGATGATGGCTCGAAAATCTATTCTTCGTTTCGTCAGCCTCGGCGTGCCGCCACTTTGGGTTCACCCCGAGCAAGAACACATCTGGTCCCTATATCGTACCGTCATTGCCAGAAGGAAAGAACCCAGTGAAAACAGGGCGCGTTCCATTTGTTCGCTTCGGGCCAAGTGCTCCTATAATAGATGAGTAACGTTCGTTCCTCCGCGTTTCAACAAGTACCTAACAACATTAAGACAGCGTGATTTCACTTATGACGACCTGGCCGATCATACAGTCCATCGAGCGACGGTCCAGTCGCGATGCAGCGTGCTTGAGGAACTTCGAGTATCTATAGATATATCAAACGCATTATGAATCTTTTTTTTCTGTCCCTTGTGCAAGACGCCCTTACCAGGGGGAAACACCCTGTCTAGCCTAGCCGGTATGGCTGCCAAGAGATTCAGAGGACAAACTGGGTATTCGAGGTCGTAAGGAACTTCTTGTACAGGGACACGCCATGATCATATCCGTTTTTTTCTTCTTTTTCTACTTCTTTCACTTCCGCTCACGTTCTCCTTCCAGCTAATCAGTAGCTTCTGCGCAGGCTCACTCTCTCTCTCTCTCTCTCTACTTGCTCGATACTCGACTCTACAACCCGGAAACTAACCCCTGCGCAGTTCACGGGAGTTGCCATCCACTCTCTCTCCCCAGACGCAGTTATACAGGAGCGACGGAACGATTCTGAAAATCGAACTCCCGATACTACCGTTCGCTTCCGCTGAGTCAGTGCGGAGAACAACCCCTCGTCGAGGTGGTTCGCTCCCACCGAGATGCCACCCTAAACTCGTTGATACGTCAAACGAGATAGCAGTGTCGAAAATTTGATATCAAGTTCACAAGAAGCAAATTTCAAAATTTATACAACGTAATCAACTGCTGTGTACAAATGAGTCTTAAAATTACCTCAGCATCCGACTGGACCAATTTAAGCCCTTAACGTACATACGTGATCTCATGGTGAACCGCAGTCGTGTCAGCGTTCCCAGAGTGGCATCGCTCTGGAGTATATTTAAGTGTCTGATGACAATTAGCATCAGTTAGAACCGGTATGATAACGAGTACGTATCTCGTACCGGGTGGATCTCGCGAGCTGTGAAAATTCATCAGGATTATCATTGAGGAGAAAAGCATTTGAAAAGTGTCCGAGAATATTCGGTGATCGCCATTCAGACAGACTTGGCATGCGGTATAATAAAAGATCGACAACCGTTTGCCACTCGTGACATACCGATCTTCCAATTACCATTCCTCGCTGCGGATATAGCGCGAACCATGACTCGTCACCTCTGACGGCAGTCGAGAAAAGACGTTAATAGATTTTTGGCGGTTATTCGTGCTTTAGGACTACTTTCATCGAATGCCATATTTATTTTATTCCTTATGGCATCTAATACACCGCCTCTTTAAGCAGCCTCTTTAATGGCTGCTTACAGTGAAAACGTCGCGGACACTTCGTACGCGACGTCACCGCCTCGCGCTCTACGCCACATTTACCGGCTGTTCTATTCTATTTCTGGTACTATTCTAGTCCGGGGCAACTTCCAAGCGGCATCGTTCGTAACTCCGCTCCCCTCGTAACCAGTTGGAACTCAGCATCGTGTGTGATAGATACTCAACCTTAGGACTTGGTCGTGGAAGTCTTATCGGTTGGGTTATCAGAAGGAGGTTCTTTTTTTTCTTGGCAGGTCTCTTACTTATCCTTCACTCTGACAGACTTCCTGTACACACTTAAGAAGTGAATACGGTGCTGAGAAGAGATCAATTGTTTGAGACGGTTCACCAGGACTGTTACGGTCTATGTTACGGTCTATGGTCTATGGACTACTGTGATCTTGTATCGTGAGTGGAAGAGTGCTACTCGACCTGGTGGCTTCGACCTAGGGACACCGTGGAAACAGGAAGGCCAGGATGCAGTGGCGCCGGCAAAGAAGAGTTACCCACGTGATTGGATCCTCTAATCATGTTCTACTATTAGCGAGGTACCAAGACGGTACGGGCACTCAGGCAGACTTACACGAGAAGCCCACAGATCCCTGTGACTTTTATTACACGATTATATTGACTAGGATATTTTAAGAGGGTTTCATTCCCTAGATGCACTGATAAGACTTGTTCCATCATGTCGCTACAGTTTGGCATTTTGAAATTCTTTAGATAAATCAGGTGATAGAAAATAAGGATGTTCTATCGTGATAGTAGTTGTTACTCTGTAATACGAATCTCACGATATATCTATCTGATAAAAGTGTTTGAGAACAAGACGTGTATTGTTAGTTGAAAGAAATTTTCTACACTCAATCGTACCTGGTTTAGCTTCCCCATGGTTCTACTTCAGGTTTTATGTACTTTCGAGTACTTCCAGTGGTCATTAACTTGACATATGTATATACATTTCCATGTGAAACGTATTTAATACATAGCGATAGTAGTGAATTAGCAAGTAATTACACGTGTTAAGAAATTAAAGGGTTCAACGGTTATTATCATGTATTCCTGTACTTGTAGCTCCGCCGGGTGAAGAAGACGAGGAGGACGGATTGCGAAATGGTTACGTTAGAGGTCAAGAAAATGGCTCAAGCTCGCGGACATTCGATCGCAATGCCCAAACGAACTACAAGCCCCGGAGAACCTACACAGGAAATACGAGCGGCTACGGGAGCAGCAGTTCCAGATCGAGGAAGGATGATTCCGCGGATTCCCCGTCACAGCCGAAGATCATCTTCAACGAGGACGAGTACACACGAATCACTACGCCGAGGCAGGATGTCCTCTTCAAGAAGGGGTACCTGTCGCAAAAGAAACCCTGGGCTAGTACAGCCAGTACCAGTGCCACGCCTTCAACGACAGAGAGTCAATCTGCCTCTCACTCGACAGCAGGTGAAATACTATTAGATTATTTATAGTGATTTATTATCATTTGGTTAATTTAATATCATAAATGTATTTGTAGACGGTAGTGAGACTACCGAGGACCAACAGCTCTTAGACAGAGACAGCGCAGCTGGTGAATTCCCTCCAGTTATTGAAATGGCACCACCGCGTGCGTACGGAACCATCTATGATCATAATAGTGGATACTATTACGAATATCCACTGATGATAGTTGGACCACCAGTACCTAGTCAGGTTGGACCTAATGTTCTAGCAGCAGTGCCATGTGGTCCTGTACCCTTAAGGCCTATCGAATGGGTCAATCCTGCGTTTGTACCAAGGCTAGCCAGCAATCAATACGGCATGGTGGATTACCAGGTGTGATATAACAAAGATGTTTTTATTATTTTATATTATTAACTATTGACTTCTTGGTAGGTCGAACACAGTCCGGAGATTGCCATGGACCCTGGCACAGAATTGATCAACGCTGAAGCAGCAAATGGAAACGAAAGCGAATCTGGAACTGCAAATGGGGTTGAGAGTGGTGCTGATGAGGAACCCACGGAAGACACTATCGAGGAACCTGTGGAAGAAGTCATCGAGGAACCTCTGGAGGAAGTCATTGAGAACGGCCCTATACCATTTATGGATCCAGCGATAGCGCAGCCTATTCATATACCCCACATACCTCCAGGGCCACAGCAGTACATGTATCCTGGCCACTTTATGTTTGGACCATCCCTAGTCAACGTCAACGGTTGGTTTACACCCTGGCGACTTTCTCTTATGGACGATTATACTGCCGATCGCGGGACACACTTAGCTTTGATTCGAGTCATGGACGGATGGACGGAACAACGGACGAGTAAACGAATAGGCTGCTGTGACTAGGATTCGTAGTGATTATACCTGGGAAAGGAAGCGTATGAGATTTATAATTTTTTCATAGTTTATCGCTGGTCTGATATCCTGGTATGTAATTCTATTACAATAAGTAATGTCATTGGCGGATCACTGTTGAGTTCGTCTAAGAAAGAAGTATCATACACTTTTATGGAACATCACTCATAAATAGTATACTCCGTATGTAATCTTTTATATTTCACTGATGATGCTTATAAATACGCACTTTAAGAGGCATCTATTTTCATTAACAGCCGTTCACGTCATTCTCTTGTCTTTATTCAAGAGATGAATGATATGTCACGTAAACGTTTGATACTCTTAAGAGTATATTATTATATTAATCATCACAGTTATCTGATAGGTCCTGAATTACATGAAACGCAAATGCAAATCTTTCTGTACGACGATTAACGTAATGACGTGAAATTAGATTCAAAATCACAGCGAGTATACCAGAGATGCAATGAAAAATTATAAAATTTCTCATGTCGCTGCTTTACCCACGAAGCATTAGGCTGCCCCGTAGAAGCTTCATTCTACTTCTTTCTAATGTTAAACGAGAACAGTGTCGATTGGAAGCACGGCCAAAGGAAAGGGATTTACCCCAATTCACGACTGCTGTCCCGTCCATCGACATCATTGCTGTATTATAACCGTGGTGCCTCTACCCCATTCAAGGTAAAAGGTAATAAAATCCCAAGGAAGGATTCCTAACTTTAGACAGGGGCGTGTTCGTAAAGTGCACAGCGCTGCAATTATACAAAAGACAATGTATGAAAGGCCTATTCATAAAATGGCTCTACGAAAATACACACGGTCCTGCCTAGAGCCGTGGCAATCCGCACGATCGATGTGTGCATTCGCACGTACGTAATAATGGCCCCCTTACGTGCGCTTGACGCTCCATTGCCAAGAAGACATTCTCACGCAATATCAATTAATCCAAACGCATCACGTATCCCGTTCACCATGCGCTGTCCGAGAAACGACAACGGGTCCATTGACTTGCACATTCGCATAGTGCCCCTCGACATTTGCCGTTCAAAATATACCTTGGCGAAAAGAACGGCTAGGTTGAAAGAGTGCGCGACTTGGCAGCCACTGCGCATTGCTGCACTCTAAATAGAGACGTTTATAAATAACCCTAGCGCAGGCTACGACGATGTGAGACAAAGGATCCAGTGGTAAAAAGCCAAGTTCAGTCTCACCTTCCCGAACACGTCGCACGTTCCATCGCATCTCTGATTAGACGTATTTATCAATCGAATATCACAATCGATCGCTAACTATAATCATACTCATTTTATTGTCTCATACGCATTCGTTGATGCGTTGGGCATTAAGTAAACTGTACTCGTATTTTCAAAGCACCTGTGGCTGTTTGTTTAACTGAGACATATTGGAATAACGCTTGTCTGTTCTTCTTACTCAAGGTGTGACGATACAGACTGGTCCCATGGTCAGGAGCAACGACGCGGCTGTCACCACGGCGGCGGCGGCAGCCAAACGAAGGAAAAAGAAAAAAAGAAGAAAGCAGAAACGACTTGCTCAGGTGGGTAAACGTTTATTCCTGTGAGTAAATGATCATTAGGATTTGGAATGATAGGTGCAGATAGTCAATGAAGTATTATTTATATTAATGTAGGGTAATACCGAAGACGAGGAAGAGGAAGAATACAGTTCGGACTGTGACCCTGGTGCAACATCATCTCGACTTCCTTGGGCAGCTAATTCATCCAAGGGTACAACCACGAGCACTAGTGTACATCGACCGCTGAATCCCGAATGTCAGGAATTTCAGCTCCGAAGCATTGTCCAGCCTGAAGTTTCGGCAGTCGCGAATAATAGCGATGCTGCTGTTGTGCCTGATGTATCTTCTATTGAGGAAAGTCCTCCCGCTGATTGTTCATCTGGTTTGTCTGGGCCACTCCAAGCATCGTCATTGGGATCGGTCGAGACAACTTCAGAATCGATTGAAACAACGTCTACGAGTACAGAAGCCTTGGAGATCAGTGGCAAGATACCTAATAACGTACTGGATAAATCTAATGGAGATATGTTGAAAAATAATACTTCCAGATTGGTTTCCGAATCAATCAACGAAGATTCCTCGTCCGTTTGCCTCAATGATCGATCCGATGATCTGGACAACGACGTCAGAAGACTGAAAGACAGGCTCGATGAACCTGAAGAAAAAGTTGAAGAATCCAAGACAATTGGGATGGACGATGTTGCGATGAAAGACAACGACCTATTGCTAGACGTCGACTCACGGAAGTTGAGCAAGATTGATTCCGTGAACGGTGATGAAAATCTGAAACAAAGCAACGGGCAGATAAAGGATACTGAAGTAATAGTATCCTATAAGAAAAAGTCTGATAAGATTGAGTTAAATAGTATCAATGTTAATATTGAGACATCAACCAGACCTATTTCTCCATCCGGAGGATCATCCTTAGATAAACCATGCTCAAGACCCACGAGTCCAGAAATCAATAAAACAACCACACCAATAAATGCGGAAGCACAACGACTACCTGAGAGCTACGAGTCACTGGTTACGAAGCCACCAGTACCAGCCCCAAGAAGAAAGTACAGCGCCAAAGGATTGAAATTCGTACGGGAACCAACTCCTGGACCGGACTTGGACACAGAGACGAATGTGGACGTAGAGGAAGCGTTGAAAGCCAAAGAAGAAATTTTGGAACCAGGATCTACAGAAGTCGTTCATATTCAGACATCAACTTCTAGCGTGGAATCGATTTCTGTGCCAAATGAATTGAAATCGAAAGACCAGGAGAAGCATAAACTGGAGAATGGTGGAAATAAGAACGAAATAGATGACCAAATTTTCGTTGCTTTGAACGATGATTCTAGTCGTAATATACAGAGTCGTCTGTCCGATCATCCTATAACGGATGCTGTTACCGAATGGCTCAGAAAATCAAATTCTCCGGATATCTTCCTAACACCGATGGATTTGGCGAATAGCGAAACAGATGAAGATGAGGAGGACGTAATGGATGTGGATGAGCCGCCAAAAAACTTGCAAGGCAACCCCATGCCTGCACTATCTGCTAATGGCGACGTCGCCGACGACGAGGTGTCGTCGTTGCGCGTAGCCAACCGCGGCGAATTCGCAAGGACCAATATCGAGACTGTGAAAACAGAGAAGAAGAGTATGAAGCCAGCAGTGGTAGGAAAGAAGAGAAGATCGAAAGCGTCGGGTAGGAAAACCGGAAGTGGATCAGAAAATAAGACTAACTCAAAGAAAAATTATATATCTGCGCACGTCCACGAGCCCGAGACAAAGGCCATGATACGAAATGGCGAACTGCTGCTGAGAGATGTTGGTGAGGTTTGCGAATTGACCGAGGAGGATAGCGATGCGGGTATGAGGGTTGCTTTAAGCTCTCGGATGGACTCTGAAGGAGTCGACACAGAATCAACGAGGGGAACGAATCAGGACCGAGTTAAAAATAATGAAGTAAAAATAGAGTCTGGATCATCGAATGGAAACGAGAAGGAGGTACTCGTTAAAAAGGATGCAGTGAGCGTTAAAGACATAAGGACATTTGAGAGAGGAGAGATTGTAGTTTCCATGTCAGGAAAGTTACTTCCTGGAGCCTCCTACGAGGCACTCGTGTTAGATCATAGAGTAGCCAACCAGACTGAGTCTAAGAACACGCGTAGAAATGATGTTGGTGAATCAAACAAGAAGGAAGCTCAAGTTTTTGAAAGGATGCGAGAGAGTAGCAGCATAGAGGACGACGTCAGTGCAATGGCCTCATTAGGTAGTATCGAGGAACCTGACGTCCTTGAATGCTGGGAGGCTGAAACGATTGAACCAGTGACAACGCCAAAGAGGATGATGCAGACACGTGGTGTATCGCAGGACGGAGAGGCCGCGGAAGAGGACGCAGAGGGAGCAGACATCGCAAGCGTGGAACATGTAAGAAAATATTACAGGTTAGCACGCGAGAGCGCGACCAGTCTCGAAGAAGAGGAAGTAAACGAGACCCGGACACCGGTGAGCTCATCAAAGTCCCGAACTGTGCCAAACAGTCCAGAACGTATGATCGAGAGTCTTTGCAGCGAGGAGATCCCGGTGATCGTACCGGCCGAGATCCATGAAAAATTCCTAGAGAAAGACATAGTGCCCGTCGACGAAGCCTTTGAGGTTTACGAGAGTTGTTACACGGGTAAAACGCCATTTTTCTCGCTGGACAGCAAGCACGATAAATCAAGGCCAATATACGGCCAAGAGGAGGAAGGACCCGTACCGTGCAAAGCGGTTTGCTGTAACATACAGTAAAGCTCGCATCACTATAATCGCGTCTCGCCATTATACCTAGCGCGCTCTAGCGCATATATGGCGAAAGTTCGATAACAATCAATATCTATCATGACTATAATTAAGAAAACAATACAAGGAATCATGATATTCTACTTTTTACATCAATATCCTACTTTCGCCATGCTGCCACAACCGTGAGAGAAGCACTCAGCGGCCTGTAACGAGTGCTGAGCACGAATATCATTACTAAAGGTAAACCAAAATTTAATTTGGGTCTTCATGGAAAACTGCGCGTAAATGCTCATTGGCTGTCATCGTGGTACCGGATAATTAGGTTATAATGCGTTTTCATGTCGCTTATCCATTCTTGTAAATAGCTTTCGACGCGACGTCCTCACGCAATCATATTTCGCGGGAAGCTGCCAGTACTCGTATGTACGTTATTTAATGGAATCGCAATGAAATTACGTTAGCTGACGAAAAGGGTGTAAGGGTATGATTCATGTCGATATCGCCTTGTTCCAATGGTGCTGGATGAAAGAATTCTAACTGTCGTTTGTTATGCTGTCGGCGGTAGACGAGTCGATCGATGCGCTACTAGCCTTGGATCTAGGATGGGTGATCGTGAGGAAAACTTCAAACGAACGACGATTGTTAAAATGGATTTCGAATTAAGAGACGGTGTCACGTTGTTATTGTTATCGCTCTTGTTAATTATACTATATAAGCGAGGAAGTAAAATTGGCGACATCGTACTGTGCTAATATATAGTAAGTCGATGGGATAATATTTTGTACGATCTCCATACGAAGAACATTAGAATTCGAAGTGGGATTAATAAGAGTGGCTAAATTTTTGGCGTACGTGTTATTATTGTCGTTACGAATATTTGATCATGAGAAAATGGCTCCGATTATGCGGCACGCGAAGAACCATGTTATTGTAGAGATATAAATCGTAATTTCGATTACCATCCAATTGGTCCGGAACTAGCGAAGAAGAAATATTAATAATTAGTAATTATTAACGCATACCGAACCTTGTAGAATCCGATTAATCAACCAAGATTTGCGTTAGTTAGACGTGACAACCGATAACATTGGTGCAGATTGCAACCTTCGAATACGAGTTAGAAATAGACCCAGAGCAGTGTAGAGTAAAAAAAAGAGACGAGAACAGAAATGGGGAAAAAATAATAGTTAGAGAAAAAAATAATTGTAACTTGACAGTCTTTGTAGTTGTTTCGGTAGACTCGTTGTATCGAGATTAACGTAACGTGTACATAGGCAAGGTTATGCTGATGAACGAGACTATAATTGTCTCGTGAACGTTAATGAATTGCAATGGGGCGCGTATGAAGTGTATGAGAGAAGAAAATCAGCAGGATAGGAGGCGAAAAGGATAAAGATAGAAAAAGAAGAAAAATAAATGGAAAAACAGGGAACGAATGACCAAGGAATGTTGGAATAACGATAAATTTGATGCCATTTACTCAAGAGATTCTAATCGAACATTAGATAAAAACATACTAAACGTAAATATACGCATGTACTTACACATTACATACGCGATAAAAAGACAAGAAAATATTGCACACGTTATGACATAGCTCACGCTTTTAAGTTAGTTCCGTGCCGGCTAGTCTGTAAACCTCAGGATGAGTACAACGTAAAAGTTGGTTACATTAGGACGTGGTTCGCGTTCTAAATACGTATCCCATATCGTAATATGCAAGAGATACCTCATAGAGCTGTGTAAATAAGCAGCTGTTCGTTTGCTCGTTTGTGAAGGCAGTTAAATGGGAGAAGGAAATTCGAAAGGAAAGAAAAGAACATAAAGTTGAAGGAAGTAAAAGAGAGAAAGTGAAGGGAAGGAATTCAAGTTTGAATTAATGACGAATAGTAAGGGGGGGGGGGGCATAGGTGCAAATCGTTCCTGCGAAAAGCTCTAGTTTCCGCTATGGTGTAATTCGTTAATAGCGACGACGATGATAATTCGTACGAAGCGGAATATTTCTGCGTGGGGATATATCACGTGACGGTCGTCAGTTCGCATTCATCGCCACCAACAAAAAAGTAATACGTTAAAGATAGATATGATATATCGCTATTATAAAATGCGCGTTGCATCAAATGTGTGCCTTATTCTGTGGCGGCCATTTTTGTAACCATTTCCGAAACAAGCACCTTGATAGTAAAGAGGCGACAGGCAAACGTCAGATAAAAGAAACAGGTTCAGACTAATTTAAAAAAATGCAAGGGCAAGAAACAATAAGGGGGAAAATAATATTAATATTAATAGTAATAACAAAACTAAGAGACAGCCGACTGTCGTTCAAACACCATCGTTGACAATTTTACCTAGGCATGCATACTCGATGAGAAGAACAAAAAGGAAAATTAAAAAAAAATCATCCTGTCATTTCATACTGTGGACACGTTCATCAAGTTCACTTCTTCGTACCTACGTGTACACGTGCATTACAAAATACAAAGAAGCATACACATACACATTATGCCACACACATCCATTTATACATACACCCACACACATTTAACACGTGACGTGTTACTACTGTACAATTACACTTTAGTTGTATTGAAATAAACGTGTAAGAAATAACTGTACTTCAATTTTGTTGTGTTTTTGCTTAAAAAATATTAATAAATCGATTCGATTGAAGATCTTGTATGCTTATTATACTTTATTATTTAACTGTTAATATTTTTTTTTTTTTCGAGTCACTTCTCACTTGGAGTAATGGTGAATGCGAATTATAAATTTATTGTATTTGCTTTCGATTTTGTGGTTACTTGTAAATGCGTAACAGAAAGTATCCCAGGAAAGATAATGCAACATCTACGCATCAACGTTAACATTAGTTACTCAAGAAATGTACAATTAAAAAGTACTTTACAGACAGTTATGTCCGTAAGTAGAAAATTGTAACATTGCCAATATGTAACTGTTACTTTATATTTGCTGAGTAGATTTAATTAAATATGGCACACTCGCTGTTAGATTTTTGAAACGATATGATTTACTACTTACTGCAATAATCGGAGCATGATGAAAACATTATTTTGTGATTGTTGAGGATTCTTCTTCTTGTGCTCCAAAATAACAAATATTTTGCAGTACAAACTCAATTTAACTTGAATATGTTCAGTGTGATTGGAGAAAACGAAGGAGCAAAATGTTTCTAGTTTCTCGAATCTAGTAATATAATATTGAAACGTTGCTGTTCGATGTAGTTAACGACTGAGCAAGAGTCGCAGAAGTAGATTGACTGACCTCCCGGCGTTCGTTTAGTAAATTTCTTCTAGAGCGTTGGCACCGCTGATCATCGATCAGCCCAGCAGTTATCCCTAGAAAAATTATCGCACGACGGAACACGATGAATATTATTTTATAAAACTATGACAACCTAATTTTTAAATAAAGAAGAAATTATAAGATACCGACAGCTTTTTTCTAAAATAATTAATGTAATCAATTTTTTGGGTAAATGGAGCGTGTTCGTAAATGTGCTCCTTTCGTACTTCACATGCTTGCAGAGCGAGACAACCTCATAGGACGAATACTAGTGTCAAAATAGGAAAGGGAAATGGTTGAGCATTTACGAACACGTCGAAAATTGTCAAAGTTTCTTGAGGAATGCGATACGATATACTGCGGGTTCGATTCGATAACTGCCGGTGCAATAGCTGGTACTGCTACGCAACGGAAACGGAACGAAGGACAGGAATACGAGAACTACTGTCGCAAGAGGCAAGCGGCTAGAGGGTAGGCTAGGGAATAGAGGATAACGGTGGCAGTGCCGCCAGTCGTCCTCAGGAGGAGTCGGTCATTCTGCTTAGAAGAGACGGACGGACAGACAGACGGACGGACAGGGACTGCCGTGGTCCGTGAACCAAGCGTATATAGATGGACACGCGCGAGCCAGCCGCACGGCGCGACCTGAGTGTGTGTAGACGTAGGTAGGGAATTGGTCGTGCGAGTATAGCAACGAGAGAAGAAGCTGAAGAAAAGAGGAAGAGGTGGAGCGAAAGAAGGAACGAGCGAGTCGGACCAGCGAGCGTGTAGCGCGGTAGTGGTGGTGGTGGTGACGACTGGTGCCGTGGACGGTCGGCGGTCGGACCGTGGAAGTGAAGTGAAAAATTTGCGAGTGGTGTTTGAACGGTGCGCTGGGTTTCGCTGGGTCGTTGTTGCCGAGGAGTGCTGGGGTTTTGTGTGTTCATCGGACCCGTTGTCGATACGCCGAAGGACGCAAGGAACGCGCGAGAGAACCATGTCCGACCGGGAGAGCCTGGAAGAACAGCCGCAAAGTAAGGAAGAGAGCCGTGTTGGTTAGAGAGACAAGCGAAAAAAGGAAAAAGAGTGAGAGAGCAAAGGGGAGCGCAGAAGAGAGAGTAATCGGAGTGAGACGGAGAGTGTGAGATAATAGTAGGGAGAGAGGGAAAGAAATAGGAAGCCTCGCGCGACACAGCCGAAAAATATTACCCGACATCTTCGGGCTATTCGCGGCGAGTACTCTCGCCGCTTCCAGAACGGCGACCGTGCGCGATACGAAAATAATACCCTGGAAATTCTTATAACCTTGCTCATATCTTAGGATCTCTGCCGCACGGGTTTCGTTAAACGAGACAATGTCTTTTTCATCCCTCGTGGCGTTCTGTCAGACGCCGAAAAAATCGCTATTTTTCAACGGCCCAGGATCCAAGATGGCCGGCTGCCTATCGGCCGCGAGACTCCGCTCTCCCTTCTTACCCCTCGACCGTCGTTGTCTTTCTCTCTCTCTCTTTCTCTCCTCCGTTCCAAGCTCCGTTCTGTCTTTCTTACTCATTCTGTCTCGCCCTCTCTCTTCATCCCTCTCGCTCGCTTGTCTCGTCTTCTTCACCTCTCGCGTCTCGCCCTTTCCTCTTCCCCATCGCAACCCATCGCACGAGTCGAATATTCGCAACTTCCGACGTTGCCGTGCGCCGCAATGCCGGTTCCTTTAGTTTTTCCGAAACTCTCTAACCGCTCCTTCGAGTTCCTTTATGAAACGAACAGCGAGTAGCTTCCTCGACAAGGTGTCGGCCCTGCGTCCACCGGACATCGGCCCCCGCCATCGTTTTCGGGTGCACGCGTGATGTAACTTTCGCCGATCTATCTGGCACACACGCATATATCCACACTGAACAAGCACACACGTACTCGTGCACACATGCATCATTCCATCTGGCCCCGCGGGCTTCTCGCGAAATTTCACACGTGCCACGAGCTGATCCCCTTCCCACGGACGCACAGCTCTTGGCCTCGAAATGAACAGTATGTGTCTATCGACATGTCCTGTCGGCAATGCCTCGTGCTGCTTTCGCAAAATTTCGATTTTTAGAGACCCCTCTTGACTCTTTTCTATCGCATAAATCACAACCTTTTTGAATGGGTTTTAGCAGGGCAATCCAGAATTTCTGTTAACCTCCATTCAAATTATGAAGAGGTTACGTGACGCCTCCTGGGTTGGGCTGTTTCTAAACACATTTATCGTTTTGTTTAGGAAAGACCTCAGCTGTATTTACGATAAGACTGACGCATTTACGTCATTTTCAGGGACTGATAGAGATATTTTACTTTCTGCAAGATTAATTCGACGTGTTAATTACTTCGGACTAAGCGGCATTTGTATAGGAGCATCATAATGACATTATTTTGCATACTATTTCATTGGTCTTTGAACTCGTGAATACTATTCCTTGTTTCTATTAATAAAATTGACCTACAGTATTGTATGGTATCTCGTTTCACAACATACTTAGCATTGCTTAATACGGGATTCCAGAAATTTTCAAACTTATCCTGTCAACGAAGTTGTATGTTGGAATTGATTTTCTGATATCAACCACTTTCGCATTCACGTATACAGTTCCTATTATTGAAGTATTTTTAGTTTCTATATGCCCGATAAGAACTATTCTCGACTCCTCTTTGTTCTACCGTCATAACTATTTTTTCTTATTTCATAAAGTATTTTTTGACTACCCTCATAAATCCATATCGTATAGCAGCCTATCAATGCATCGTTCTCTCTCTTTTTCAGAGTATGGAAACCCTGGCGGTATGGAGGCTGGAGGAGCTGACTTCGATTCCGGTGAGTGTGCAAAGCAAAAACTGATGACAGTACAGCGTCCGCTACAATATCAGTACCCCTCTATTTCCTCACGATCCCGAATCGTATGAGTCATCGTTTTTCCAGGGTAACCCGAAAGATAATTCGTAACGAATTCCACGAATACGTATCCTGTATAATGTCTTCTGTTACGTCACTATTCGCCCCATACTTGATTTTCATTGAGCCTCACGTCAGCAGACGCCGTAGCGACAGCCGCTGATACTGGCGCAACACGCGCCAAGGATGGTGCGCGTTGCCTGGCACGACTGACCGACCTTCTAATGAGCTGCCGGTAGTAGACCGTCGTCAGACCGATCTGGAACAAAAGTAAATGAGATCAGCGTGCCCTGTAAGGGTATAGCCGAGTGCATGGGGAGTAGAGCCTAGAGTCCAGGAGAGTTTTGGTAGGGAAGACCATGTCGTAGTCGTTCGTAATGTTGAACCGGCTAGACGTTAGCCTGCGAGGGGGTCAAGAGACACGAGCAGCAGTCAGCTGTCCGTGACGTCACGGAGTGGTGGGGGGTCGTCACGTGGGTCGGTCAAGTCACGTGGCGCGTAGGATGGGTGGTGCCGGGTGGGTATCCTGGGCTCCTGATTGGCTGATCTCGACTCCATGATGCGCGCATTCTTTCGGCATGACGGCGGGCTCCATGAATGACTGGTACGTCACCGGTACGATTTCGCGTTTGACGACACGGCGGAACAACCAGAGTCACTCGTACCGCAAACGATGTGTCATCGCAGTGAGTCTACTCCGGTATTATTCTCCTATCGCGGCATTGCCGGCTTCAGTGCGGTTCCTCCTGCTTCGAAGGTTGCAGCTTCCTGCCGGCGCTCGTGCAACGTCTCCGCCGTCCTACATCGCGTCACGGCGCCGGCTCCTGGCTTGTCGCGACTCCCACGAATTTTAAAAGTCCGAGTATTCCCGCGGACTCAACCCATCCGTGGACCGGCTTGCGAAAAGCGCCCTCGCACAATACAGCGGGAAGAAGAGTAAGACTGTACCAGACCCGATAATTCTCCTCGTGCGTTACATCGCGTGCATCGCTCAGAAAGTTCTGTGTGCCCTGGATAAACAGTGACCGTGTCTCCTTGCATTACGGTGCATACGCGTTACCGTAAGCCGAGTCGCGAAATGGGAGAGATTCTCGAGAATTCGGAGCACGGGAATGTTCAGCGGACGTTGACGAACGGCTGGGGAGACACCATGGGAAAAATACAATACTGGTATCCAGAAGGTGATGTTATTTGTTTACCGTAGTTTGATTTTCAAATATATTCACAACCCGTGTTTTTGGTTATATTCAATACTCTTGGGGTCGTTGTAAAATTACACGCGATCGCTCGAAATTTAATCACGGTATAGGGATTTCAAAGTTCCCCTCGGTACACGTGCCCACGCAACTTATATATATATATATATATATATATATATATATATATATATACACACACACGCGTCTAATATTTCCTAGTGTCCTTACTTTAATGGTTCCCTGTCCATTATACACCGAAGGTCTTCCAACGGTCTGCGATCTTACCGGTACACGCTCTACGGTGCAGCCTCCGCAGTACCGCTTTCACGCGCAATCTCCAATTATCCTTGATAACCGTGACAAAAATTATTCTATCGGGAGTGCGTGCTATTTTCCCCGGGACACGTCGCGAGCATCGGCGCTGAGTGCACAGGCGCACAGGAATGCGTCTGGCCGTAGATGCAGAGAGCAAGATAGACTCGCAAGAAGGATAGATGTAGTGTTACCAGCAGAGTGAGAGAGCCGCGTGTACCGATAACTTAGAATTTCCAAGTAGAGCACGTACTATCAACTTCGTAATGGAATTGTCAATATACCAAGGATCGAGCGATACGCGGTTGTAGCCAGGTGTCGTTACTCTGGTCACGAGTCCCCCAGAGGATCGGGGGAGTCTCGGAGTGATCTCCCGTCAGGAACGGCAGCCGCCAGGTGCCCGTAAAAGGAACGTCTTGCGCCGATAGATTTTCTCGCTAGGGAAACGCACGACGGCGTCGACGCGTCGGATGCCGCGGTCGGCGTAGAAAAGCAGCGGAAGGGCGAGGGAATGCAGTTGGCGTATTGAGGCAGGTCGCGGTGAGCCCGAGTGAGTCGCAGGCGCAGAGATCAATGCACTCGCTTGCACGCCACGTCGTTCTTCGTACGGTCGCTCGTTCGGCGCACCGCCCGTCGTACGTTCTGCATTCCAGAATGCGATGCACCGGGATGCATCGTCGCGAGATCACGGTCACCGTGGACGAGCCGTCGGACGGCCTGCCGGTGTGAAAGTTCATCAGGTCTTGGGGAAAGGGGGATTTACGAGAGGCGTGAGACGGAGATGGTATCGGAAGAGTGAAGAATAAAAAGAAAAATTTCGTATTTACATATTGCGGAGTACCTGGGGGACTACCTGCAGTTGGTACAACCGATCGCTACTCCGGGATAATAACCGAAATTTGGAATTTGCTCCAGATGAGAAATCTGCAACCCTCGTGCGAAGCTCTACTGCTGGGATAATCCTGGGATGGGACTGTCTCGCGAGGGAGAGACAAGGGAGTCGTGAATTCCTCGTGAAGTTCCTGCGTGCTGCCCTATGGACCTTCCTGCCGTACGGATGTCGCAGTGTAAAAGAGATTTAATCTTGTCAGCGACGCGCTCCAGAATTTTTTACGTGGCTTCGCCCATTGGAATGTGAACGGATTCTCCCTGCGTAGCCAATAGGGATCAATGGTGACCTAGGGGATGACGCTTCCGTGGGACGAGAGGACGATGCGAGGGTATAAGGACGCGGGAAGGTCGGGACAGCGTGAGGCGTAGGATGGAGGGTGGCAGGACACGTGATGATACGACGGCGAAAGATTGAGAGGCGGGATGTCTACGGGATGCTGCGGGCGTGTGTTTTTATAGGCGTGGTAGCAACGTTGTGACGTTTCACTTGGCTCGTACTAAAGATAGACTGACAAGTAGATGCCTCGTCGTCCCCTGGCGACCGAAGAATGTACAGGTACACGGACTATCGTAGCATCTACAGGATGTTCAAGAGCAGGATCTTTCAAGGGGACTTGAGCCCCGTGCCAATTCCCGGCAGCCTACAGCAATCCAGTACGTAAGGGCTACTTGCGTGGGATACGTTACATGTTTTGGAGCAGTCGATGTTTTTCGAGCGGGGTTGCTTTCCCTTCAGATCGAATGCTACGTGGATTGATGGTCTAGCGTGGTTAGGTCAATTATTTATTTTTTTTTTTTACGGTTCGAGAGCACTCTGAAATAATGGCTGTGCCGCTCCGTTACCTTGTCAACCCGCTGGACGAATTTAACGAGTCGTCAGGACAAATGACGGATTTCCAGTTTAAAATGCCAGCTCTGCCTACTTGTTAACCTAGGCCAGGGTGGACCCGGAGTTAGCGTTGAAGGAGAGTACGAGAGTAAGGTGACGAAGGAGGAACGAAAAAGTGGGTGGCGCAGGGGGTGGGTTATCTAGGGCTGGTAGTAGTGGGCTGCCAAAGGGGTCGTTGACCCCGGGTGCAGCTGTTATTGATCGGTGAGTTGTAGCAACATCGTTCTATGGCAGAAGAGCCTGTCCTACCCCAAAGGATCGACTATTCTCCGGCGACTGTACTCGATCGCACTATTGAAATTCAATGATTCAACAGACTTGTCCGTTCTTTATCCATTTACATACGTGGACAGGGTTATCTTGTGACCCTGTACATGCGTCCGACTCAGGACAGGACGTGGACGCATTTACAATGTGACCCACTGAGCTTTCAACTCAGCCACCCAACCCCAAGGCTCGTTTCTCTTGCCGGGGATCAGATTTCTTTAAGAGACTCCGAGAGACCACCTCTGCTTTCGGGAATGTCTCCCACGTGGGGCACTTCTAATGTTTCATAAGGCTATTTATCACCCTCGCCACGTGAAGGTCTCGGGACTTTAGTGGTATTCTAGGATTTCCTTGTATCAGCCGAAAAATCAAAAACGTAGAATGATAATAGAAATCCGTAACACGTACTACTGCGTGTTACGGCGTCACTTATCTGACTGCTGTAGTCGCTTGCAGTTACCTTATCGATAGATCCGATATACTTAATTACGTTATCTGTTACGATATCACGTTGATTATGTTAGACAGACTAGGCAACATGTTGCTACGAGACGGTTTCAGGATTTACTAAAGATGTTACTCTCTGTTCGTCTTTCAGGTCAGCAGGGTCAGCAGGGCGAGCAGGAACTGGCGACGAAGATGCTGCAAATTCAAAGCAAGAGATTCTATCTTGACGTCAAACAAAACAGACGCGGAAGATTCATCAAAGTCGCCGAGGTAGCTATTTGCCTACACTACCACCAGTCTATATTTGGAGCGACGGACACGATGTCCTAGTCCATAACTACCAAGCCGTCGCGACGTCTGCTTTTTTCCTTCTGGCTATGTTCCTCCCTTTAGATGTAAAATCAATCATCGCGCCAGCTTTGGTTTTCTTTTTAATGAAACTCACTAATCTATTATTTGCGAAACTGTATACTCGATAGGTCAATGTATTCTGGTGTTATTCATTTGTTTACGAATTTTTATTATAGATCGGAGCCGATGGCAGGAGAAGCCAGATCTTCCTGGCGCTGAGTACAGCGTCTGAATTCCGGGACCACTTATCAACATTTAGCGACTTTTACGCGTCGCTAGGTAGGACCAATTTATATTTAGCCTTGTACCGTTTTCCGGGTAAAAGTCTTCATCGACTAATCTAAGCGTTATTGTGCTCTGTGCGGCACTCTTGAAAATCGTAACAGGTCCTCCAAATCCGGAAAACGTACCGGACGACGGAAAGCTCAAGTCGGAAATGATGGTGAAGGACAATAGGCGGTACTACCTGGACCTCAAGGAGAACTCTCGTGGACGTTTCCTGCGGGTGAGTCACCCTGTATGTACCGACCACCAAGTATATCACTTTCTATAGTAGATAATAGAGGACTTCTCTTAGTCACTGGTGCGAAACAGTAAATTACGGATCGTAAGGGAAAGCAAAAAAAAAAGGAATAGTGAGAAAAATGAAAATAAGGGTGGGGTGGAGATGAGAAGCCACTTGAGATGGAGGTAAATGCTTACGAGGTTAAAGTGCTCAGTGAAGGGATTTTGGACTTTGGAAGAAAAAAAAGAAATTCATAGGAATAAGAAATTATTGTGAACAGATCTTTAACGATGTAATGACAAATTCTTTTTTCTTTTCTTTTTTACCCTTCATTTTACACTCGCAGGTTTCCCAGACGATAACACGGGGTGGTCCCAGGTCGCAAATTGCGATACCTGCACAGGGAATGATTGAGTTTCGCGATGCCTTGACGGACCTCCTTGAGGAGTTTGGTACGGACGACGGAGGATTCAAGGGCGATTTACCAGAAGGACGCTACATGCGCGTCGATAATAAAAATTTCTATTTCGATATTGGACAGAACAATCGTGGTATCTACATGAGAATTTCGGAGGTGAGTTAACTCCTGGTGGCTACAGAATATCAAGTAGCTTGAATTCTCGTGAAAGTTGTACGAATTCATAAGCTTTATACGTGAAGACATAAATATTAAGGATTACTTGGATTCGCAGGTGAAGACAAACTTCAGAACGGCGATCACGGTGCCAGAAAAGTCCTGGGGACGATTCCGCGACATCTTCGCGGATTACTGTGAGAAAATGAAGGAAGGCGGTGCGGGTGTTGGCGTTGGTGTGGGGTTGAGCGGCGTAGGCGGCGGCGGTGGCGGAGGAAACGTCCTTACCGAGGGAAAGGGCTCGGTGGTGGCGCAGGTACCATCACCATCCTCCACCTCGCAGCAGCCTAATCCTAATCCGAATCTAGACTCTCCCTTAATCAAGTGAAAAAGGCTTTAACTTAACTCGAACTTTGGAATTATAACCATAACTCGTTTTCAAGTCGTTAAGCGAACTAAAGGAACTTGTCAGAGTCTATGCCATCGTCATCACCATCCTCATCGCCATCATCATCAATGTATTCGCCATCATGTTCATCATCATCAGCATCATCACCATCGTCATCTTCATCTTCATCATCTTTATTGTCACCGTCACTGTTACCGTCACCGTCACCGTCACCGTCACCGTCACCGTCACTCGCCGTACGAGGAAAACCGTATCCGCCAATGGAGATCGTTATTGCGCACTGTCAACGCTATCAGCTGATTGTCAAAGATTGTCGGTAAGACGACGTGCGACGAAGTGCGATCGGTGAGGTTGCTCGTTCTCGGGCCCAACGTCTTAGGCGCCGAGACACAAAGAGCTGGTTTAGATTATGGATATGGAAAGAGGAAATACGATAATTTAACGAACGAGCTGTTCGAGTGTCGGGGTCGCTCGTGCGACATTAACCCTCGCACGTGGACGCGCAACGACGGATCGAAATGCTGCGCGATGTCCTAGACGGATGTACGAGTTGCCATCGATTAACGTTATAAGTACTACCGTTCATTTCCTGGCTTTTTCCCCTCGCTCAAAAAAAAAAAATTCACCCACTATATCAGTCTATTTGTTTTTCTTACGATCTACGGACACATTAGGCGCGTACAGGATGACGTATTGTCATCGGACCTCGCATACGTCATACCAAAATGCAAACTTAAAAAAATTCCTCACGGGAAATGGACTGTAGTGGAGGTTACGTTGCAATTGAATTTGATCGTTCAGAATTTATGGATAAATAGTTGTTATATTAGCGGTTGTATCGCGGGAAAGATTGAGAGAGCGTATACGCCGTCGACAAGAGGATTGATTCAGAAGAGGAGGGCGACGATTGAAGAAGATAACGAGACAAGAGGAATTAGAATGAGATAATAGTAATAATCAGGATGGAACGGAGAAAGTGTCAAATCGTATCAAACATCCGATCGATCGGATCCGCGGTCGCGTACCGTATTCAATACCTCGCGTATATTTATGATTACGCGTTCTCAATGTATATACACGTATATACCTGATAAGAAGAAAGTACGGAATCGCGAAAAAAAAAATCAAACGTTGGCTCTACGCTTAAAATCCGCGAGAGATCGACACTTTCTTGTAATTCGAAGGAACGACGTCACGATGCGTCTCCGCATACGTGGTCATTTCCGGGCCAAGAGACCTGACTCGCTTCTACCGATGCACGATGAACTTATACTCGTAGTAAGGATCGTGATCACATGGGGTGTTCGATTGACGGGCGAGAAGACTGGATAATCGATTCGAAGTTTGCGTCGAAGGGACGGATATATCGCTTTCCACGCGAATATTAATCGCCCCTCATCCCGTACACCTTGACACCGTACACTCGTTTATAAGCTGAAAACGAACGTCTCTATTAAAATAATAATGAAATAATATATAACATAGGAGAAGAAGAGAGGATAGCCGGATACGAATCTATATAATATGTATATTATATAACGTTAATTATGTTATGTTTTCGTTCCACCGAATCGTACGAAGAGGTGCGCACGCGTATATACTTCCCACGAATGGACCGTAGTAGAGCGTAAAAGGCAATGCGTGCAGTCGCGCGCGCTTTAATTCTATTGTCTTTTCTTTTTTTTTTCTCTGCCTTTATTTTATTTTATTTTTTCTAATTTCACCTTATCATTCGTTTCGCCTTATACTCACGGTTTTCTTGTTCTTTTCCCTTATACTCTACGTTAGACGAGAGGACATGTAACGGGTACATGCAAAAGAAAAATATTACAAAAAAAAATATAGATTAAAAACGGACGAGGACTGGACCTTGAGTCCTTATCATAGACAGTGTAACATCTCAACGATGAACGACAAACAATAGGACATTTATTAGTAACAGAGAAAGAGACCATGGACGTATACCCTATACATATTAATAGCGAATATACGAACGGTACACGAGACGGTGTACACGCGTACCTAATTACGTTACGTTTGAGCGACGGCCGACTACTAACACAATTGCATATTAGGTATATATTATATGAATGCATATTAGGTATTTATATAGAATCTATATAACTGTATAATTGTAACGAAATGCCAATGTCCGCGGACCCAGGCGACTGTGCCACCCGGCGGCTTTAATAATCAATCGAATTGAACGGGTCACACCGGCCTCGCAGACGTCTGGGTCCTTTTGCTCGGGCGCAGGAGGAAAGACGCGATACAGTATGGCGAGAGAGCGTGATAGATTAGCGAACAGACTTTGGAAAACGGTAGATAGTAGAGAGCGAGTGAGAGCGAGTGTGTGAGAGAGAGAGAGAGAGAGGGGGAGGGGAAAGAGCAGACCGAAGAATTTACTCGGAACAAAAAAAAAAGAAAAAGAAAATGACGCGAGAAAACAAGATACGGAGATAGACACGAGGCAAGCCAGGGAGTGGAGAGGTTCGGGCGACATAATAGAACAAGGTTCGAGTTGCTTTCCAATAGAGAGAATAGAGGGAAAAATATTGAAATATAAATGAAACTAATGGAGAGATACATGAAATAATAATGATAATAACGAAAATGAAAGATCATCCAGAAGTAATATCCGTGTGCGGTACAGGCGACGAAGAGAATGCGATTCGGATTGGATCAGGGTGGCCGTAATGGTGGTCGCGAAAGTTTAAGTGAAAACCTTTTTACGCTTTTATTCTGCAACGTTGTGCTAATATCGACAATTTTAATAATGTCCAGTTAATTTCCTTTGCGTTCTTTCTATCGGAAATGAAAAACGAGACGCTTCTGACATTTCGCACTGGTGCGGAATCATCGTATTAGTAGTGAGCGGTATAGATGCATACACTTATGCGTGTAAAGTGCTATTTAATTGGACGCAAACGTTAACGCGCGTTGACTTTGCGTCCCGGTACGGGGAGACGAGTAGAGGTATGAGGGAAGAAAGGAAAAAAAATTCTATTTATTTTTTAGCGATGAACGTTATCGTTATCCATTAGATACCTTTACTTAACCTCTTTCTCCGCCCCTCTTCTCTCCGTTTCGATTTCGTTGCACTTTTGTCCTTTCTTTATGTCTCGTTCTTGTCTATTGCCTTCCTTTTTCTAAATCGACAATTTCGGCTGGTCTGAATTCACTTTAGGGTATAGGATTCGAGGATTATAGTGAGAGAGAGAGAGAGAGAGAGAGAGAGAGAGAGAGAAAATGGAAGAAAATTACGGAGATAATGAAGAAATATTTAATATGAAGGATAAGGGGGATACGAGCGTGTGACAAGTGCACGAATCACAATAGGGAATTCGAAAGCGCACCGCAGGGTGTATCCACGTTCAACGTTACGGCTTTTATGAGTTCGCGTGTTCTTTTTTCCTTTCCTTCTTTCTTGTTAGTTCAATAAGCCGAGCACGATTGGCGGGAATTTACGGACCGTTTAAAATTTTTCACCTCGCAAACCCTGGCTCCTCGTTCTTCATTTTTCCTTCCTCGTTTCGCTCTGCTAAGCGTAGTCGCATAAAATTGTTTATTTAACTGTCGCACGAGCCCGCAACTCATCCACGTGCGTTGAATACTCGCGTTTTAGGATATTTCAAAGATTGGAGTGAACAAAATTGTATTTTCTTTTCTTTTTCGGTTATTTCTTTTTTTTTTTTTTTCTTTTATTGTAACAAATCCTCGCACTACTTTGCGACTTGTGTACATAACGTTTAATACACTTGTACATGTATATACGTCGCGACACGACTTTGCGAGAGGTCCGTATTTCTTTGTTTTCTTGCTTAATAATTGCTTTTCTTTTTTTTTTTCTTTTCTGAAGAAAAAAAGTTCTTCGACACGGTCGGACACGTGGAACCCCGTAACGGCGATATCTACGCGTCAATGCGTATTTGTTCGCTCTGAAATGTTCTATGATGGAAACGAATAGGCAAATAAAAATCGTTCGCTGACGCAGGTGGTATGACATTGTGATCTATACAAATTACAAATTACAAAGCATCAACAAGTAGTAGATAATTAAGGTTATTACACAATTCAGAGAGACATATACATACACAACGGGGGTACACGAGCAACGTATATCACATACGTATTGACACAGAACACTATTAATAAGAATATTTAAAAATTAATTAAAAAAAGAGGAAACGAACAGGCGCAAGATAAGAGTGCGCGTAGATCACGTGAGCGTGTTATAACGGAGACGAACGTAATTATACAAAAAAAAAAGAATAGATGAAAAAAATGAATGAGTACGTGCGCTGTTTCTCGTACGTACTTGGACAAGCTGTAAGTACGTAAGCAAACCGTTATGTACAGGGTGGACCGTAAGAACCGAATGCAAAAAAAAAGCGAGGACGACTACAAACGTACCTAACCACAAAAAGCAAACGCAGAGACAAGATATAGAAAAAAAAAAAAAAAAGAGAAATAATAAAAATAAATACGTCTGACACGTAAGAATTAAGCAAAGTAATATAAAGTAAAGGAAAGAAGAAACAAAAAAAAAGATACACGACGCTCCTGCCACGCAGCGAGTTCTTAGACAGCTTTAAGATAATAATTATAAATGATAAATAATAATTATTAAATAATAACGATTAACTTTCTATATGTTGAATCGTGTCTAGTGAGAAAAAGTACTATTGAAGTAACGATTATTATCGCCACTCACTCAATCACTCAATCACTTTACTTGC